GCAGCTTGGCTTGAAAACCAACTCCTGGCCTGGGGCTACATTGAAGTTGCTCCGCAGCGCTACGTCCTGCCTGTGGTCGAGGGTACAACTGCAGCTCAAATCTCTGACCGATGCACTCAGGTAACCTTGGTTTCCCAGGAAGTCAGGAAGTAACTAAATATCTACAATGATAACATGCATAAACAAATATAAATAATCGGGAACTTGATTTTATCTATTCGGATGTTTCTGGCACGTTGTATAGATGAAAATAATATTTTAAAATTAGATGGAAACTACAACTATACATTTACGGGTTGACGAATAATGAATTTTCCGATAGTAAAGGAATCTAGAGTCTTTTGAAGAATGCGATTGATAATTAGTAACAATAATAATATATAATGCGTAATTATATTCATTCACTTAAACAATACTACGCTCATGCGTATCACAGTATGCAACCAATAATAATTGATATCTCATTGCCGAGTCGCATTCCTGAGTAGATTCTGTATGTTGTTTAGTTTGGGCACTCGTAGACCGGTCCGACACTTCAGCGAACTCGCGTGCGAACTGGCCTGCGAACTCGAATGCAAAACCTAACTTCATTTTCAACTCTGGCAATCATAAATCCTTCAATAATGAACGGATTTTATTCAAATTTGAAATATAAAATTATAAATGAGGAGAAAATTCGGATACACTTTAGAAGTTGACGGTACTTATTTTAACTGAGCATTTTTAACTGAGGTAAGGCATTTAGAAACTTGAGAGCACAAGAGTCTATTGCAAAATATGAGCATAACATTGTTAAATAGGAATTTCGTAGTTTTTCTTTTCGTTTTTTTGGAAACTGCTCTTTCTCAATTCAGATCAAAAATGCAGAGAATGTGGTTCTGGGTAATATTTTTAACAATTGCTTTACATTGGATAATTTTTTTTCAAGTACGTCGGGTTTGGAACCTTCTACGTGCCCAAGCCTGGTCCAGAAATGCAAATCCTGCAGAGTAAGATGGCAAGCAAGGACCTGGGGACCGAATTTTTGATCGGTCTGAACGACTTGGCTGTGGAAGGGACAGCAGTCTGGCAGGACGGGACGCGTGAGTTGCTACCTCTATGGCAATATTTTAAACAGATTTACACAATTTACTGGCCAAAGTCGCAGGGCTGGGCACAGAATTCATTATCTTTTATTGAGTCCGAAAGGAATTTAGTCAAATTTGTAATGTATCACTAGTTTAAGCTTCGATTGGAGCGTTCATCTTTTAAATTATCAACATCGTGATACTGCTTGAAGTGAAATACATCGCACGATTTTTCGCTTGAAAAATATATTTTATTGGAAAACTGCAAGTAACAAATGGTGTCTAACTCTCGATAGGTGCAATATTTATTATGAATTTATACTCATCAATCAAGACAAATCATAACTCATAACAAACTAATTTATACTAGACACTAGACAGCACCACTCGCCATGCATCTTTACGAAATGAAAATCATGTTGCTGTTTAACCTCTTTCAAAAAAATAGCATAAGGCAAGATCATTACAAGAATCGGCAAAAACCAGACCGAACGAAATCTTCAACGCCGACATCCATATACTATTGCAGACTACAATACTAAATTACTTGTATACTTGCATTTTGAACTCATAATGAGCTAGTCTTTGAAACGTTCGTTTCCTATGGAAATATACGTAATGATTTGCCTTGCATTTGCCTTGCTTTTACATACATACTTGCTCAACATGCGATTTGGGCAACAATATTACGCATTAATACAAATTACATTACACATTTCATTAATACATTAATACGAATTACGCAAAATTGTCACAACTTGTTCAGAAAAAAAAATTAAAAAATTCTGGAGGCAAAATTATACCCATGAGAGGCCAGACGGCCATGCATGCATATGTCTCGGCCACGCATGCGCGTCAATTCTTCTAACAATGCAACGAAGTTGTCAGATTAGCTGGATCTGAATAATTATTTTGAACAATGTTTCACACTGATTGATTTTATGATTTTATCTATTCGGAATGTTAGAACTCAGGGGTGACATATTCGTTCCAAAATATTATTCTAAATTAGTTGATTAATTAATCATGTATTAAGAATTAATAAATTTATTAGCGGAACCTACTGCTAATTTTGGGATCATAGCCATTATTTTAAACTGCATGCACATTTAAAGTGGTAATTAAGAGATACTAGACATTATAATTAAGAATATCATTCAATTTTTTTCCACTCAGCTTACACGTCCCTTGCTGTTTTCGCCCCCATGCAATGGAAAGATGATACCGAATATAAAGAGAACACCGTGGACAAGGATTACGTGAGCGTCAAGTGGAAGACAGTAGAAAGCGTTTGGGAGACCAAGTTCAAGGATGGCAGCCACTCGGTTCCAGGCGTGCTGTGTGAAGTGACGTTCTAACAAATGCACTCACGTTGTTGAATGAATCCATGTTAAGTCCGAACAACCAGGTTTTCTCTGCAGTTCTTATAGCACTCTTTTTTTTTCTCCAGATGACGTTGTAATAAGTCATTTTTCACTATTGGAGAATTCGAAGCAATAAGTAATTTTTCACGAACCAGGAATTCGAAGATTTAAATTATTTAATATAGAATAACTTTATGAGAGCAGATTTGAATGAACTTGAACTGACGAAAATTGAATAAAAATACAAAGCAAGAATTAATACAAAACAATGGAACCTGCAATCGACATAAAATTAGGCTGGACTCACCATCAAGTTCAATAAAATCAAGTTTGACTAGAAACAATTCAGGAGTTCGTTTTCCATCAACTTCCAAGTGATAAAGATAAGGGACCGTTAGAGCCTAAAGGATGACCGAAGAAGTCTTCGGTGCCCTAGAAGATGTATTTTTGATAGAAGACGAGAGAGTTCTGCATGGCAATCAACTAGAAATATATTTCGTTATCTTAAAAAAATTGGGTTCGAGATAAAAATTGGGTAGTAAGTCAATAAAAGAGAAAGGCATCATCGTGTTTCTAGGTTAACAAGGACGAATTTTGTATGATATTCATTTCGAGTTTAGTTGATATCAATGAAAATATTGATTTTTTTCAATAGTTAAAGCTTTCATTAACTTTACACGAACCCAAATAATGTGATATGTTGAATTTCTGAGGATAAACTCCTAATTTGACGAGATATTACTTGTATTCATATTACATTTTAATTCAAATTGTTCCTGCGAACCTAACAGATGGAAACTCTTTTGAGCCCATCTTAGTCCCGACGTTTCGCGTTGAAGACTACATTAATTGTGGCCTACTCGTCATGTGCGTGGTGATTTAACATGATGAATATCAAAGCTGAAAAAAGTAGTAATGATATACAAATCGAAATTAAACACAATCTTACCTTGAATGTAACAAGGAGATAGCGCCAGAGCGACAACGTAACATAAATGTTTACTAAATAAATATAAAATAAGATATATGGAGTATATATTCATTATTATATGAAGTATCAGCATGGATAAATCAAAAGTTCAGCACACGCACTTAAGAAATACATTCTGTTGGAACATATGCTCACATAATATTACGTATTGAATAGACTTAACTACTGTAATGCTGGGTCTTACATCATTTGTTTCTTTGTTCGTTTGTCTGCTACAAATCTTATAATCGATTTTTAACACACTTCTACCTGTCCAATCGATCTAAAATTTTGCACACTGCGTTAAGTCGGAGACAATGCTTGAATCAATTGACAGAATGAATAATATAACAAATTTGATTTTGATTCATATATTTTAAAAACTTGTAAACTAATTATTTTAAATAATTAAAAATAAAATAATAAGTTCATTGTACATGTGTAAAATCTGAGACACTGGCTTTTAGAAGTGTTGTCTTTAAAAAGTAATTTTTAAACGCATATTTTACTTTAAGTTCGCTTCGGCGATTCTTATAGTTATACCTAACAGGAAGTAAAGTGCACGCTGTAATTTGGTAACTTATCAACCTGTTTTACACAATAAACACTATCACAGTATGAGAGCCCAACGAACAAATCTGATCCAAGATGAACAAAAATATGACCAGTAAAAATAATAAATGCACATAGCTAAATCACGCAAATTAGTAATTACATAAGGAAGAGAACAAAGCAGGGCCAAAAGGATCGCCTTGCTGTATGCCGGTCGCGGATACCAAACTCGACCCCCCAAAGAATAGAGGGGACGGTTCCGAATGCGCTTGGTATCAATTTTTATCAATCTACATCAATTTTGGCCTTTTCGTCATGTGAGTGGTAAAATAATATTATGAATATCAAAGCTGGAAATTATTAGCAATGCTATGCAAATCACAATTAAACACAATCTTAACTTGAATGTAACAAGGAGATAGCGCCAGAGCGAAAACGTAAAATAAATGTTAACGAAATAAATAAAATAAAACATATGGAGTATATAGTTATTTGTGTATGATGTATCAGCATGGATAAATTAAAAAGTTAAGCAAATGCACTTTAGAAATATGTTCTGCTGGAGCATATACCGACAGAATATTAGGAATTGATTAGACATTATCTGTAATGCTGCGTAGGGTTCTTACCTAGCGAGTAGGATAAAGTCGTTACCTACGTTTTACTTTAAGTTCGGTTTGGCGATTTTTAACCCTCTACCTACCGCCTGACATGAGTAACCGGAGCAATATTGTCACAAGCCTACTTCCCTAAAAGGATAGATTCTAGTGAGCGCAAAATGACTTGCACTGATGGTTGCGTACAACAACTTTAAATGTTCTCTGTTGCGTAAAAACGTCCTCAGGTAGCAACACTCAATAGTTTACGAATAATTTCATTTGAAAGTTATGTTCTCGGTGAGTGACGTACGGCGGTAGAGGGTTAAGTTATGCCTAACAGTAAGTAAAATGCACGCTGTAATTTGGTAACTTATTAACCTGTTTTACACAATGAACACTTTCACAGTAAGAGAGCTGAACGAATATATCTGACTTCAAGATGAAAAACGACTAGTTGTAGATCTACTCTATGCTTCATCAGGTATTGTCCTTCGAAGAAAAACACGGGAATTTCGCAGCCGTACAGCCTGGATAGATGCTCATTCCCTGCAGCAGCGATATCTACCTTTTTCAGAGTCAGGTCGGCCATGACAGGAGATAACACCTGAAAACCAAACCATTTCCGAGATAGATTCAGAGTAAAATGGCATAATGTAATAAAGAATTTAGTCGCATTAATAAAAGCGTAAAGTATTGATTTTGCATCACATAATGCGCATTCGAAAGCACCATGCTAACAATAGGAACTACTCCTGAGGTAAAAAGTACGAGTATTATGAACAGACACCACTCAAAAATGCTTAATTTTTAATATGTGAATAACTTTATAGCCTTTTAACTAGTTTAATTGAAAAGTCAGACAATATAATAGAGTGAAAACACCTGTCGAGCCTACTTCCCTGACATTAGTTATTAAGAATTTCATTTTGGCACCGAAGCAAGACTACAGGAGGAGCCTCACCTCGAAAGCGACCTCACACAGCGGGCACGGCGCCTTCGTGTACATGGTGAGCTCAGGCTTCCCTCCGGTCGCTGGATGCCGCCTACAGGAGTTAGTGCGTTACTCAAGCTTCATATTTGATAAAAATATCTACACTTTGATTATAATAAGTTTTGGGTCTATACATGCACCCAATCCCTTAAAGAGTAAGCCAGCTCTAGGCTTAGAGCCTACATTTTAAAAGAGTTGAGCCTCCTCTGGGCATGGATAATTTTACTGTCTTGAGTGACTAGGCATTGATATATAAAAAGTATTAGTGTGAGGAGCTACACTTTACAGAAGGTTTTTAATTTCAGATGGCGTAGATGAGAAAAAAAACAAGTAGCGGCATTCCATTTTTTATTTTCTACTCAAGAGCACGTCTTACAAAGCTGAGCTAAAATATCACAAAGGTCAAAAAATCAAATCAAAGTATATAAACTGCGATTATAAACTTTGGAAGAGAGGCTAAACGCTTCTTTTAAACGCTCTTTAATCACTTTAAAAAATGAATAAAACATAACGAAATTGCATTGAATGTCCACGATTTAGCTTTCGCTACATTTTATTCATGTCAGAGTATCAGGAAAAAATTTTAAACTATTGATGCGCTCGCGTTTAAAATTCTCAGCAGATTTAAAACAATAGCACGCGTAAAATAAGAGATTTTTCTCGAGTATTCTCCTTTTTCTCAAACACACTTACAAGTTACTTCGTGCGACAGAAACAAGCGTGTACTGAGAGACCAAGATTACATGATAATTTATATCCCTCTCGTGTAGAGCTGACGCTTCTGTGGCCAAGTATGAACAGTTGGTCGCGAAATTAAGTTGACACAAGACCTGGCGATCATTAGTATTAAAATTCATGTGAATTTTTGTCTTCCTGAATTAAAGACGATTAAAAGTAAACAGCCTTCGCGAGTCGACACTGGGCTTAATAAACGTCGGTTCCATAACTAGCAAGTGTCTGCGTGCCTTAGCGCCATAACATTACTCAACGTCCGCAAACCTCAAGTCTACGTTCATCATTCGATATTACTTCACATAATGTGACCTCGGATAAAGACCTTGCTGCAGTGAGCATTTGTGTGTCTATCTACTGCCGCTAGGGTCTCCACAATATTTTCTTCCTATAATCTGCGGCTTTCCTTGCAGTTACTTCTACCACATCGCCAGCTGCTGGGAGACATGAAGGCTCGAGGGAGGGAAGAACTCACAGCTTCTCTATCATGATGGCTGAGGCTCCTCCGCCGCCGTTGCAGATGCTGGCAACGCCCAACTCGCCAGGCTGCAGAGTGTGGGCCAAGTGCACCACCAGCCGAGCTCCCGACATTCTGCAGTGGCAATATTTTATTATGTATTATACTCGGCGATTGGCCAGTCACCAACGCAACTACTACCACTACCTATGCTTAATAATACTGAACGACAATTATCAAAAAATTACCTATAATTTTATTTACCTCATTAATATTAGTTGATGTCCCTAGAAGCGTTTCGACAGTGCAATGTTGTTCTGACAAAATAGTGTAGTAGGAGGCAATATTCATATAATTTCAATACAGCAAAAAAATTGACATATTATTCTCGCACCCTAAAAACTAGGTACTTGTTCACACAACCAATATATAATTAATTGACCAGGAATGCCTGATAATAATAAAGTTGAAAGAACAACTTCAGCAATCATGAGCATCATAACTACACTCACGGTCAGTAGCCGTTCCATGACGACAATGCAGACTCACCCGATGGGATGCCCCAGCGACACGGCACCTCCGTTGATGTTAACCCTCGCAGGGTCGAGGTTGCTGAGCTTGATGTTAGCGAGCACCACAACACTGAACGCTTCGTTGACCTCCCAGCGGGCCACCGCATCGCTTGACACGCCACAAAGCGATAGCAGCTGAAAACTTCAATAAATTAATGAACATCAGAAGTAATTTATTATTCAGAGTTAAGTTTATTTCAAGAACTGAATATGAGTTGAACACTTCAAATAATTAATCAATGAAAAATACTTCTCTCAATACCCATGATTTTTCCGTTGCACATGACACGAAATGCGTTGAGAAAAGCATTAAACAATTTTCTGCTCCTCTACCGCCTCCTTTTAATTAATCTTGCAATAATAATCAAAAGGTAATCTGACTAATGATTCTTGAATAATTCCAAGAAGCTTATGATACTGACATATTGTAAGATTTAAAAGTAGTACTACCGTAGTAACAAAATCATGTTAATATCACGCATCATAATTCATGCCAAATTCACGCAGCATTCTACTTACATGAGCCTTTATTCTTACTTGCCCTTATAGGTACTTCTGAACCGCTAAGGCTGCTGTGTCTAAACTTAGGAGTGCAGAGGACGTAGTACTTGACTTTGGGAGTGCTGAGGCGTGAGTGGCTAAACTTGGGAGTGCTGAGGCGTGAGTGGCTAAACTTGGGAGTGCTGGGGTTGAAGTGCTAACCTTGGGAGTGCTGGGGTTGAAGTGGCTAACCTTGGGAGTGGCCAGGGCGGGCGCGATAGGGAAGTCGATGGGGTCGGTGGCGGCGTCAGCGAAGCCCACGACGCGAGCGAGGGGCTTGAGGCCGCGGCTGCTGGCGGCAGCGGCGGTCATGAGCAGCACAGCGGCCGCGCCGTCGTTCAGGGTGGACGCGTTGCCTGCAGTCACCGTCCCGCCGTCCTTCTGTCGTGGAGGAGAGCTCACTTCAAACACACGCACGAAACAACACGAGAAAGATGACAGGTAAAAACAAGGCTAACATTTTTTTAATGTGTGTACGTGCTACGGTAACTTCTAAATCAAAAGAACTTCATAATAAAAAGTTTGTGAATATGTATTGTGCTTCAAGAATACTTACCTAGAGTAAACGAATATAAATTGTTATCAAAAATCGTAAATTTGCTAAACATTGACTAAGACCTAATTTAAAAAGAAGGAGGCACATAGAATAGATTGCTAATGAATTCCGAAAATAGATTTTAGTCCAAATTTAAAGCATCGGAAAAGAATGGAAAATACGATCTACTAGTACAGACCTGAAAAACAGTGGCCAGTTTTCTGAACTTGTCAACGTTTATTTTCTTGTACTCTTCATCTTCTGTGACGACCGTATCAGGCTTGCCACGCTTGCCTGGTATTGTGACAGGCACCACTTCTGCAGAAAATTTTCCAGCCTGCCACGCCGCGGCAGACTTGCTGTAGCTTGATAAAGCTGTACCAAAAGTCAAGGTACGTACTACTAAAAATTCTGCATAATTGAAAAAATATTACATCTGCATCAAATTATCAGTAATAATAGGGAATTAATCTCGACTTAGATATAAAGACAGACACCATTTCACAACAAAACCAGATACATCAGTAAAGAAATAAGGCAAGGAATAAGTAAGTTAGCTTAGCTCCTATTATAGGCTCACCGAATTCGTCCTGTTGTTCCCTGGTGATGCCGAGCTTCTTGGCAGTGTTCTCGCCACAATTCCCCATGTGGCATTTATTGTATACATCAGTTAGACCGTCAAATACAATGCCGTCCTGATATGAAATACATTAGTTGTGTTTTTATCAGAAGTAATAAATACAGATCAATATATAATATAAGATCAATATATATAATTTTACCTTGGATGTTATTGTCAATGATTTAAAAGGTATATTTCTGAAGAATTTACAGTCGGAAAATATTTGTAAAGAAAATTCATGCCTAGAGTAAAGTTATCTCTACACTCATTACAAACAAGCTAGCTAGGTACCGTATAATTTACTTTTTTTTTTGTCAAATCATAAAACAATTTTAAAATTCTGATATTTTATCATAGGTACCGGTATATAATTTTTCAATCAAACAAAATATTAATCTTGGATTGCATTATTTTGACCATGAATTAGACTGACCAAGAACAATAATAAGATAGAAACTTAACTCCCTAAGAATGATAAATTAGTGAAGCTTACTCACTTTGAGATGCACGCCTCCATACGGGCTGTCACCCCTGGCCATGTAGTATGGCACATTGCTCATGCTCTCCATGCCTCCAGCCACCATGACTTCTTGGGAGCCGCACATGAGGGCTTGGCTTGCCTGCATGATGGCCTTCATGCCACTTGCACACACCTGCAGGTTCACATCATGAGTGAGTGCAGTTCTCATCATTAGAAAAATATAGTAATTAAATATATAATTTACAGCAGTGCAGAACCGAAATGTCTAGCATTTAGGTTATGTACGCACTAAATAAATTAGATAGAGGTACAAATTGACAGCAGTGCAGCATCAAAATGTCTAGCATTTAGGCTATGTATTAAATAAATTGGATAGAGATACAAATTGACAGCGGTGCAGCACCGATAAGTCTAGCATTTAGGTTATGTATTAACTAAATTTTATAGAGGTATAAGTAAGAATTGAGATTGGCTGGTTCAATAAATATCATTGTAAAAGTCAAGTAAAAAAATTCACATAAAAAAATTGTCTGAATTGACAGCAGCTCCCTAAATAAAAAAAATTCACTGTTTTCATGACAAGAAACAATCAATATTTTCATGACAAGAAACAATTCATATTTTCATGAGAAGAAACAATTCATACCTTGTTAACAGTTGTGCAGGGAGTGGCCTTGCTGAGCCCAGCCTTGAGTGTTGCTTGTCGAGCAGGAGCCTGACCTGCTCCAGCCTGCACCACATGTCCCATGTAGACCTCACCAACACTGTCAGGGTCCACACCTGTGCATATGCATGGTAGATGAATAAGCTCAAAATCCCATTGATATTTCAACACTGACCATCAGAGGCATCAACATCAAGTCAATTTTTTTGAGAATATTCAATATAAACTTCATATTTCTCCAAATAATAACAAATTGCATAGGAATCTGAAATTAAACTTATGGAGCATAAGAAATGTAGGTAGTTAGCAATGTAGTAGAATAAGGATTCATTTATCTAACCTGATCTTTCAACTGCAGCTTTGATGGCCACAGCTCCCAGCTCAGGGGCACTGAAGGCACTCAAGCTGGACCTAAGAAATGCAACCGCAACAAGATTATTGTAAGCAAGGTTCCAGGAAAAGTTATAACCATTCAGCAAAATTGATTTAACTCAAAATAATTCAGGCAACATAAATTAGGATTTAAAAATAACAACTTCATATGGCAGTCAAGATGAGACAGACCTAAATGATCCAATAGGTGTTCTGGCGGCAGAGACAATAACAACATCATTGAGGGAGCGGGCCGAGGAGCAGTAGCTCCGACCAAAGGTACCAATCTGTACAAGAAGAAAGTCCATCACAATATGATGAATGTTTCTATGAGGAGTGAAAATCTGTTCTTTTGAATACAAGGTAGGAATAGTTCAACAACTGGATTCACATAGTTTATTTTTAACTTAACAGAATCTATGCTTTTTACATCAGAATAATGTTTTGATCAACCAATTATAACAAATATTACTCATTGTAGAAAATAATTGGTAATTAATTAGATTAAGTGCATCTAAAAAAAGGGTGTTTTTTTCTTTAATTATAAGCCACTATTTTTAGTTTTGCAATATTCCAATTAGTTTTGCTACTATAACAGTTTTACGCCGTGTCGGAGGACTGTCCCGAATTACCCCGCCAGTCCCAAGTTACCCCGGTTGACGGTACTTAATATCAACCAGCATCATATTGCAAACATAAAATTACCATTGAAAGTTTAGAATAAGAGTGCAAATTAAAATTAAATTCTTGCCAATACAATGTTGGGAAGTAAACTAGCATCTAACTTTCTTGTTGAAGTTTCTATTATTATGAATATTAAATGATACCTAATACTTGAAAGGGCAGCAAATGCATATAATTTCCTTGTTTGCATAGAAGCATACCAGAATAGATAGACATAAAAGCTTTTGATATATGTTATGAATTGTATATAAATGTCATTTAAGATGATTATAATACAATCAAGGATTCTGGATGGTTTAAGTTTAGTTAAAATTCTATGTAGATTGGGATGTGGAAGTAATATATAATTAATAAAACAAACTGTGATGCAACATAAGAATATAGCTACCAATTTTATCTCACTAATCTGGTTTGATAGTCTATTTTAATTGAGAAACTGAAAACCATTTCAGTATTTAGGAGTTGAATAATTTTGCTTATCAATTTCACTAAGATTGAGACATTTTCATAATTTTAATAAAGGAATCATTCATATATTTTGACCATGGGAGATTTCAATTAAGCTATAAAGTAAACAAATTTTAAAAAAATATTTAGATGGTAGTTATACTTTGTATCACATAGGTAAATCCAAAAAGAATAGTGGCAAACCAATTATTTTTTAGAATAAGTTCATTTTTAACTTTCTCATTTACTCAATATTTAAATCAATTTTTTATGCATGATAATATGCTAGTATGATGGTATCCATGAAACCATGATACTTTGCTTTGCTGGTCTACTTATAGGATTCGAAATTGAACTTAGGGCTAGGGGAGAGTCTATAAACTCTTAGCTTTGCCAGTTGCCACTCGCCAAGTTGCCACTTGCCACTATGCCATAAAGTTAAACAAATTAATTGTAAATCATTTTAAATGATTACTCACCCTTGAAATGTTCAGAAGCATTATTTATGATATGGAGAAATTCAAGTCTTGAGGAATTTAAAAATGACTAAAACTTGAAAATGGGTTCTTTGGTTAAAAAATTAAAAATAGTCCTGAAAAAGTGCAAATTAATTGGTTTAGTCACTTGAGTATGGTATTACTGCAAAAAAATAGCCATATAAGGTTATAAGCCAAATCAATCTTTCATTAGCCTTAGGTCATAGTGTCATACCAATAAAAAAAATAATAAATAGGTCCACATTGAAACTGTCCATTAATAATTTCATATTCATAGGCCGATGGGGTTAAGGGCTCAAGGCTAAGTATGCGGCTAACTAGTTCCCTTTACGGCTAGCTGTGAGTTAGAGAGCCTGGATTACGCATTACAATTTACGAAGTATGATAGGAAGTTATGCCGCTTGTGGTGGCCACTGGCTGGCTATTCTGGCGGTGGGACCGTGGGCCGGTGGCGGGCGCCGACCGCCAAGCCTGCATTCCTGCAGCTCGTTCTTCAGGTTTGAAGTATCAACTGTAGTATTGTATGATTTGTATCACCCAGACACCCACAACTAACAGAAAATGAATTATTTTTCATCAACACATTCTAGTGATTCGAGAATATCGAATTGCAGTTAAGCAACTTACGCACAAAGCTGAAAGCACAATCGCACATCCATCCTCACTCCTCAACAGCAACTGCAATTGAATTGTCCAATTGCTCCCTACGCAGGCTACGCAGCCTACGCTACCGAGCCCGAGCCTACTTGCCTAGTCTTCTTTTTTTCTTTAATTGGAATTTGTGGGAGCCTCTGAAGACTGGTTCAATGCGGCCCCATGTCAGAACGGTTCAAGGAATTTGACTGAATTTTGTTTTCAGGTACAAAATTGGGTGTCTTAAAAAAAAACTGAAGATTTCTCAATGGGTGAAGAGCTGCAGAATGGGGGGGCCACCAAAGTGGAGACCACACCGGGGTAGAGAGCACCATCCCAGGCATGGTGCCAATCCATAGGTTATTCAAAAGAACCTGTTCTTATGTCATTTTGAACCAATCAACACTTCTTTATGGACCGATCGTAAAACACACCTTCACCAGCAAAAGCTTTCACACTTCTGAAGAAGGTGAGCTGACAGCTACACTGGCCATGGGGTATGGGTGGACCTAATTTGAATTTGAATGCATGCAGCGATTCAAAATCCTATAGACTGTGATAGACATAGTATACAAGTCATAGAGCCTAAATTTTTAATATATAACATGTTGACACTAGTAACCGGCTGAGGTTGACAACATTACACCGAAATCTTTCGTACAGTTTTATTCTGTAATTTATATTATGTATGTATTATGCTGGTTTTTAAATAATATTTAATACTAATAAGAAAAATATATAGACTTTATCTATAAATGTAGCGGTAGCGCTGTAGCGGCAAAACCTCGTATCGCTACTTAAATATGTAGCGGGCGCTACCGCTACCGCTACATTGCCTTAAATGTAGCGCCGCTACCGCTACTGAAAATGTAGCGGCCGCTACATGTAGCGGCCCCATGTTTGAATTAATTAATTCAACCATGGTCTGACCTGACGCTGATTCTTAAAATCGCGCTAAAATCAGTTTGTTGCGGGTCTCGAGACTGCAACTCACTGCTCCAATTTAGCTATGCTTAACCGCTTGGCCTTCTCGCCGATTCGAACAGAACTGTAGCAGGTAGCTGGGACTGAACCCACAACTTACTGCTTCTGAGTGCTTCAGTCAAGGTTCTCTGTACGGCAACTACAGGACCACCTATAGCCTAGTGGTTCCTAGGTCTCTTTTCGCAGTGGTTTAACTGCACGAAATAAAAACGAGTACAAACAAATATTTGTGAATACCTACTATGAATCAAATCAATGATGTCTTCCAACCGCGTTGTGTGTTATACATAAGGTCTGGGGCAGCAATAAATTGATGATAAATTTACTCAATCCCTTTAAACTAACAGAAGTCGCACTGTACAGCGTCTCACTATCGTGAACCCTCAAACTAGCCGTCTGCATACTTCGCAAATTTCAAGCGTGTGCTTCTGTCACGATGATTCAAATTTAAAATATTTCGTTTACATCATTAATTATGATTAGGGTATCGTGACTTGTATCCCTTCAAAATCTATCATCTATATTTTTGCCGTATTTGGCTAGAGCTGCTCGCCTGACGCTGCTTCTCAGATTTCGACTGTTACGGACATTCCTCTATTGACTTGAGGCACAAAAAATGCCAAAATGATCGTCATCCAACCAACATTATATTTTCATTTGAAAGACAAGATAGCTGACATATGCATGATGTGATCGAGGAAATATCTGGATTTCACTCATTCGCAGGTCATCGAATTAATCTGATGTGGTTTTTAACGTAGAAATTTGAAGGCTAATACGTAATTTGTTGATACCATAGAGCTTAACTTCAGCACGGAAGGTCGAAGCGTTTAGCTTGCGGAGATCCATCGTGCGTTTCTTGATGCATCCGAACGTCGGAAATCACTTTACGCTTTCTTCGTGGTGCATACGATTTTTTTTTTCGAGATCTGAAAATTTCATGTCGTGGAAAGCGCTACTTTTTTTTAACATTTGCATGCACAATGAAACAGGTGAATTATAATTTAATGACAGTTGCTATAAAAACTTCCATCGCAGCACAATCCACTGTAACTGTGATATCGGCGCGTGCAGACAGATATGACTGATGCAACAGTCATCATTGCGAAATTTTAAAGCCTATTTGTTGGCGGTGGAAGTATTATCTCATGAAAACTTTTACACCACAAAAAAAAAATGGCAATTTCCCAGATTTTTTTTTCATATTGGCGCTCTGCTGATTTGCAAGTACTTTTGCCTTAGCTTTATTATGCTCGTGGTTATGCGCGGTTATTTTCCTCTGGGCCTACTTCACCACCGCTATCAGCCTCCTAATTAAAACCCTTATCAATAGTCCATGTTAAAAGAAGATTATGACAACAAATGTGAAATGAGTAGCCGACGTAAATAAGATGTGTAATCAAATTAAGAGACTTTGGTAGACGATTGATAGAAATTACGTGAAACTTTAAATTTAGTTTCAATAAATCTACACACGCCCCGTCTCAAATTACAGCAGCGTCACATGACAGAGGCACCTGACTGAGATGTGACAGACAGAGCACGCCATATGCGTCATTCATGTTTTGTGCCTTGGCCCCGAGCTGCGTATCCTTGAGAGAAATATTGAATAGGTGATTCCACTGGATGCTCATTGTGCAGTTTAATTTGTTGCAAGCAGAGAAAAATCTAAATATTCAAGGGTACAAAATAAACGCACAGTCTTGAAATACCAATTGAAGATTTCCTATGCAGCCAACACATTTCTCTTCTGTTCCTTACCTGGCAAATTAAACACCGAATAGATTTCATATAATTACAGACATATGATGAAAGAGTTGTCTGGCAATCCTCCCTAGTAGAAGTGTTATACAATGAGAGTGTTCCAAGTGGTTATTTATAGCTGCACAAAAGTGCACATTTTAACTAACGTATCTGCATTTGTTTGATTGTTTCCGTAAACTCCTCAACGTGGCTCACAACGCAAGACTAATAACTGGAGCTTCCAGTCAGCTGAGTAAAGTCGCACTCAAGAAGGTCGAAGTAAATATTCTTGACTTGATATGTATTGCTAACGAGGTTGTTGTTACTTCCATTATTTAGTAGCATTACTAAATACAGCAATCGACGTTATTAATCAATAACAGCTATCAATATTAATCAACAGATCAATATCAGTCAATAACTGATAAAATAGCAATAAATAAGTAAGTAATAGTTAATAATATCAATTCATTAGGTTTGAATCAATTCTGATCTAAAATTCCTTAGAATGTGGCAACTCGGAGCTTTCATTGGTTGCATTACTGTCGACGACACCTGCCCGTACAGTCTCGCACATCCGTTGCTTCTGGACTTCCCGCTAGTTAGGACCCTAAGCTGGGAATGCGGCAGAGTTCCTTAGTGTCTGGTTGTCCTCAACGCATGGTTTCTTAATTAAAAAACTTAGAGTCATCGGATACAGTCTTAAGCATTCAGCTACTGGCGGCATGGGCTTAGAAGCTGTGTTCACAGTTGATAATCTGTATTATTCCATAATAACACCGTATGTCAACCAGCGGCTAACGGCATTCTTAACCGAAGCTCTGCTCACTAGTCACCACATCGTTCACAGATTTAAAATGTTGGAGAGGTTCGATCATCCCGTGCTGACTTCGCGTTATCTAATTTTTGAAGTCGGCATCGCGCTGCAGTGACCCAGTGAGTTTCTACCAGTTCTACTCTCTAGGATGGCCGATTTAACTGTTGTATGGCGATATTAAAGTAATATCGGATAAATGTTCTCACTGCTGCGTATCGTGACGCTTACCAATATTACTCATTTTTTGAAGTCCAAAATAAAAATTACATAAATCACAAATTTAAAAGAATTTCCAGCCAGTGTAGTCTTCACGAAATCTAAACCCCCAGCGTGCATCTACTCTGAACACTTGAAAAACCCCTTGCACACACGACGTGGAATGCCGTATGCGTCAAAAAACACGCAGCGGTATTTGCCGCGCTATCATTCACACAGGACGGCAAATGCCGCATGCGTCAAAAACACAACGGTATTTACCCCACAATCATTCACAAGAGACGGTTTTTATCATTCTTGCAGTGCGGTTTTATGCACCATCAGTCTATCTTTATGTTTATGTAACAATATTTATGTAGCAATATCAGACTATAATAATCTATCAGTCTTGCAGTACTGTTTATTATGCACATCAAATACGGCCCCAATGTCTGTACCAGACTAGGATGTGTGTCAAAAACCGCTGCGTCAAAATCCGCACAGTGTGAATGATTACACTGAATATCATTGCAAGCTAAACTGTTGCGGCAAATGCCGCAGCAGTTTTGAAAGAGAACACGCAGGCAGCATGCGTCAAATCTGACGCTGCGTTGAAAGCCGTCGTGTGTGAATAGCACTGAAGGTTACGTATGTCTGATGAGGTTCGACGTGAAATGCCGCTGCGAGTTTTTTGCCGCATGTGGCATTTCACGTCGTGTGTGAAAGGGGCTTTAGGCCCTTTTCACACAGGGCGGTATATACCACCAGCGTCCGACGGTATTTACTGCCAAACCTCAGCGGACATACAAAATGTGCACTGCTGTTCACACACGACGGCTTTTAACGCGACGTAAAATTTGACGCCTGACCCGCGTACTGCTAAAATTGGTATTCAAATGTAATATTTCAAATGTAAAATGGTATTCAATGTAATATTTCACAGTAGGCGGTTTTTGACGCCACATCCTAGTGTGGTACAGACAGTGGGGCCGTATTTTAGGAGCATAATAAACAGCACTGCAAGACTGATAGATCATAGACTGATATTGTTACATAAATAACTGTAAATAAATAATGTTACATAAACATTGTTTTATATATATTGTTACATAAACATTATTACATAAATATTGTAACATAAACATAACGATACACACAGATAAATATATATTTTCATAAAGTGATTGAGATATATTTCATAAAAGATATATTTTCTATAAAATATATAGGTATTTCTATATATATATTTACATTATTCTCACATAGAGATACATTTCCATAAAGAAAGATTGTTACATGAACATAGAGATGGACTGATTGTGCTTTTAATAGCACTGCAAGAATGATAGATTACAGCGTTAGAAACCGCCTCGTGTGAAAGATTGCGCGGTAAAAACCGCCGCGGCATTTTTGACGCGCGCGGTATTTACTGCCCTGTTTGAAATCTGCGTTAACAAACCATCCGGGCCAAACAAAGCATTACTTCATAGCTCCTACTCATTGTTCATATAGGGCTATAGGCCATATCTTGCCACGTATAACGTAAATTGATGGTAGAGGACCCAAAACAAAGTTATTTCCTTATATTTCAATTATTTCTATATTTATTTCTATATATTTCTATATTTATATTTCCTTATTTGTGAATAACATAACACCAAACGAAACTCGTATGTTGAAAACATATATGGAATGTGTAGAAAAATTACAAATAACGTAAGGAAATGAAATCCGTTCTACTTTGTTGGTCGATGTTCTGATGATGACAGCGGGGATGTCACTGAGGCATGACGCTGCAGGAAGGAAAACGGAACAAATCGTAGTTCATTATGTGGAAGGCTGACTGCAACTAACGGCGCGCTCTTTGCAAGGACATTAAGCTGCCACACTCGCGTCGTCAACCAGACTGATCAATAACTTTATACATAGGGGAGAAAATAATTAACTAAGCTGATTACTTTTCATCCACAAAGATGACCATTTGATTTTCTTTGACCGTGAATTTTTTTTAACTTTCTATCTACTGTAATTATAAGTTCATTATATTTGATTTTTACTAGTATGTGATGTTAGTTTTGGCAATTTTGCGCGTAGTCGAATTCCAGTTTCGTCGTTATAACAAGCACTATATGCGTTTTAACTAAAACAGAACCAGAAAAAAGTATAAAACAAAGACGGTGCCGGGCATCATAATATAATCAAAACGGTGCCGGGCATCATAATATAATCACTGCAAGGCCATTGTAATGTTCCTATTAGTTTAGGTTATAGTTAACGGATGGGTTTCTTTAATTTGTTGACGGCAACTTCCGATGGGGTGTTTGGGTTATTAGGATTGGTCCACTCCGTCCAGGTTCCAAGTGTATTACAGTAGAACAGAGGACGGAAGTTCTCCAACAAATAAACACACATTTAAGGAAACACTAATCAGCTAATTACAACAAAATTGTAAACATATTTCTCGCAGTTATTTTATTGCAAACTAGATAACCTAGTTCGCTATACCTACTAGATAACCTAGCACGGCTTCAGAAAGGATCATCGAACGACCTAACCGTAAGAGGTAAGACAGGTCCTTCCAATATTTGGGTTGATGTTGCCATAACATCTGTTAAAAAATTCCTAAAACTAAAATTCATTACATACCTTCCCCCCTAAGCCAATTTTTGAATTCAGAGACAGAAATTTTGTATCTCACGACATAATTTTTTTTCTGCGGCGATGTTCATCCAATTAATCACCATATAATAAAATGATTAATCAAATTAATCACAGAAATAAACTTAATCAGGCACAACACGATATAAACAAATTGAATTGCTGGCGTAATCGAACAGAAAATACAGGTTAGGTTTTTATTTTTCTCGTACAAGATATTCGATACCCTAAAAAAACAAATAAAATCACACGCGGGAAAAATTTCAACTTGATAAAATAAAGAAATATTATTTTATTTAATATTTTTCATAACACAAATTGATCTCCAAACCATCAAGTTTACAATCTTAATTCACTCACTTGCTCATTATTATTATTTTTTTTTAAGACTGGAGAGCTCAGAACGGCACTTTCTCTTCTATATTTTTCCTAATCGTTTAATGAACATAGCACGCTGCGCATGAATAAGAAGTTTTTAGAGAAGACACAGAGACTTGAAAAATTGTACCTATGGTTCGAATGGTATCAAAAAATTGTGAATGCGAATTCTAAAAAACTATAAAATTTCATGGTTACAAAGCTTGTACTTCATGAAGAAAAAATCTAATCTAGGCCAAATCTATCTAAAATCTAAAATCTAGGCCAAATTTCACAGCATATCGAGGGTATAAGCGTTCGTAAGAAACCTAATTTTTTAATATTATCAAGAATCTTCCTGTAGTGCTTGTAATTATTTCACTCATTATCTGAATTGAAACAGAATAAAAAACTTTCAGTGTGGGGACGACAGTTTTCTGTAGCTGGGTTACAGCGAGCAGGAATGCTGCAGGTAAGTCCCATGAAGGCCTGACAGCAAATCACGGGCAGCACCGTCCAGCATGTGGCCCGCGTGGTGCACACCGAGCACCGCAGCCGCCGACGCCCTGTGAACAATAACGTTCGGATTTATTTTAGATTGAGCTCAATTATCGGTACTCAACATAGTCGAAAACCAAGTTTCCTATCTTTCAATCATCTTCAAGAAAGTAGGCCGCAAAAAATCGATTATATGTGACTTCCGATCGATAAAATGGCTGGCCTATAAAGCTAATCTGTTGAAGCAGGAATCCACTGTCAGTTAATTGAATTTGATCCGGTAGTCGAAAAAACACAAGTCTCTCGAGCTACATTAAAACACTGAAATGATTCTAAATTCAAAGATACTTCAAGTGCCAAGGTGTTTCGTCTAATTTTAACAACATATATAATCACTATAGACGTATCACAGTCATTCCTTACAGCATGAGAGATCCAATAGAGTCAACTCCAACCAAGTCATTGACCGATGCTTGCGAATCCAGGTATCGGCAAAATTGTTTTCTCACGTCGCCGATGTCGCGCGTGTCTTTAAATGCCCTCCAGAGATCATTAATCTCACTAGTCGGGTATTCTGTGTGACCAAAAGAATCTTCTAAGCCCAGTAATTCTGAAATAATTCCTTGGTTCCAGACATCAATCTCAGAAAATCCGTAGGATCTTTTGGGTCTCTCGATATCTTTATTCAGTCGAGGTTGGCGATCTACGTCGGGCGAATCTGATAACCAAAGAAAGGAAGAATTTTCGAAAACTCCTCTCCCACTGTTTCCTGTTCCGTTAATTATTCGAAATAGCAGAAACGCTAGTAGAGTACCCAGCGCCAGAGCGCCGAGCACTACGTATGGGTCAATCGTCGCAGTGGAGGAGCCGCCATAGCTCGATCCGCCATACCCGCTGCTGTAGCCCCCTCCACCATGCCCAGAATCGTGACCGTATCCTCCACTGCTATGCCCATAACCTTCATCTTTGTAGCCACCTTTTTTCTTATGTCTATCATCATGACCGTAACCTGTGTCATGTCCATAACCATCATCATGTCCATAACCATCATCATGTCCATAACCATCATCATGACCATAACCGTCATCATGTCCGTAACCATCATCATGCCCGTAACCGTGATCACGTCCGTATCCCTCTTCATTTTCATGTTCTTCATTGTGGCCGTAACCGACATCGGGCAAATAACTTGTTTTGTGGTTTCCAGAATCGCGGCGTACGTAATTCAATCCTGCCTGTCGTTTTCGGCGCGCCATCTCCCTGTTAGCAAGGACGTGGTCAACGCTGAAGAGCAAGATATTCTTCAGGTCTGCAGAGTTATTACTTGAGGGCAGGAAGAAATCAAGAAACTGAGGCAAGTCATTTAAGGACCGCGACCTTAGGACGACATCCAGTAAGTGATCTGCATAGTCTTTGATAATGCTGAAAGTTTTAGCCGAGGCCAAACTTTCAATGGTATTTTTCAATTCTTTTCCTTTTATTTGATCAAATAATTCATTGACCTTTCCCAAAGGTTCAATATACTGATAGACTTGACGAAGTACGTAGTCAGCAAAGTCATCGTCTAGATTAGATCGGAGAATATTCATAAGGAATATTTTATCTCCCAGGTCCAACACGTGGTCTATGAACATTCCAGGTGCAGTCCGGTGCAATGTAGAGAGGGCATACTCTTGATCGAGGTAAGATATGATACGTTCAAAGTTTGGCTTGAGAAGTAACCAAGTCTCATGCCAATTTTTCGGTACTTTTTCTAGCCCAAAGGCAGATACGAAACTTGCCATTACAGCTTTGGTATCAATCAACTTATTGTCATATCTAGACGTTTCAACGTATTTTGAGAATGGTAATGTAAAGTTATTGACCGTCACGTTAAACTTCGATTCTCCTAACGATTGCGGCAGTGGATATTCTCTGGGCTCAAAATTATAGTCCAGAAAAAAATTCTTCAAGGCGTTTTCGGGACTGCGCCCATTGGCTGACCAGCTCATGCTCAAGATTAGGAGACCGAGAATGGATGCCCTCATGATGTAAAAATGATACTGTTGAAAAAGAATGGCAAAAACGGTTCAGTGTGAATTGCTTCATGTCAAATAATCATTTGTATTTATGAATAATTAAAATGTGCTTTTTTTAGTACATCCAGCTCACCTGAACTTCAAAAGTTTCAAAAAATATGTGTGATTAATAAATACTATTACACAAATACAGGAGAAGCGATGTAAATATATACTATTTAGAAGATACGTTAAATGCAATAGTGGCAAGCCATTATTTCAAAGCTTCTATTGTATCAACATTAACTTCATCTTTTTCAAGTGGCTAATAAAACAACCATAACTAAGGCTCTGGTCTAGAATATGTCTATAAGAGACAGGTTAACACGATCGTTGACTCAGATTTCAGTTTAGTAAGTTGGCAGAACAATTATTTAAAAATAGATAACTAGCTCAGAGATTGCTTTAAGAATAGTACGAGCGCAACTTCAAACATCCGTAAAGTAGATAAAATAAATAACCGAGTGCATTTTCACGCCATTGGTCACATGAGATCTCCGGGTATTACTCGCCGTCATTATATTTTTGATTATCACCATTAGTCATGAATACAGAATACTGGCGACGTGTGGACAATACAATATTGTTTCCAATAGTTCATATTTGTCAGATCAGTTATACAGTCAACACCGAGCTCACATGTACGAGAATATAGTAGTGAATGCCCAATTCGTACGCTATTATGTGTAATAACGGGCATATTCAGAGCAAACCCCAGTCTAAAATGTTGCGACCACTTTTTAGTTGCGTTCTAACAACAATTTCGAGGTGCTAGGGTCGAATTTTTTTATTGCATCCTGTAGTACGAGTTTAATTCACTAACAAAATTTCTACGGAATTAAAAAAACAGCCAAAGTTGAAAAACTTTGTTCCAATAACAATTATTGTCAGAAATTGAGCAAATCCCAAGCTAAACCTTCTAAGCGCACCAACTTCACGCTACTGGAACTATTGAAGGCATCGCACATGCCGATCTTGCGAGCATCAGTCACTCTCCGTTGTCGGCGCGATATGCTTGGTCGGACAACCGTTACTAGAGCAGCTGCGCCTGTTCTCCACGGAGAATAACGAAGTATCTTCAGGCAAAACGATCAAAAGTGAGGCATCTGCCTGAACATCTCGGCCACGCCGGACGATGTCGTATGGAATGGATAGACAAGTTTATTACTCACATGTGAACGAGGCTAAGCCTTTCCAGCGTTGGAATACTAGCTGGTTTTCTCGCTTCCAGTGAGCGGTCGCAGAGTTCTGCTTCCATAACATGGTGGTAATTCTACCCTACGTCGGAATTAGCAGATTTACTGCAACATAATTAGACAGATATGTCATTAAAACTCCGATGCCGACTAGAAAACTTTTCTCTCATGAAATGAACCGATTTTTGTTTAAATATTTTATTTCCAGTTTAGCAGCGTCGTCAGTTTTCCTCTTTCTGTGCTTGGGTGCCCCAGTGAGCAGAAGGAATTCTCTTCATAAAGGTTTTGAAACACAAGTAACGAGTAATATTTATATGATGTACACACAGTAAATGACAACAATAACATCATCGTACGGAACACCCTCATGGTAAATAGATATCAGGTCCTGACAATAATTGACTAAGTAGTCAAATAAGAGGTTCGTGTAAGTTAACAATAACAATATTGGAAGAAAATGCAAGATTCAGGCAAAAAAAAACATACAAGAAATAATAATATTACAACATAAGAATAATGACAGATGAAAAAAACCGACAATCAACATAGCTTCTCATTTTGGGCCAAAGGTGCGAAATGGTGCAGTGTGCAAAATGATATCTGCATTGAAAGTTTGAAAATTTTTTTAATTATAATAAAGACGCTTGTATTACAGCGAACGGAACGATTGGTTAGTTAGAATTTAAACTTGACGTTTAATGATTAAAATTCACAAAATAATGAATTTTATATTTTTCTACCAATGCTAGTCATCATGCACAGGGAGCAGCAATATATCAACACTACAACACTGTTGATAGAATCAATTGCGACCGCTATACTGTAGAACTAGCATAAGAAGAATGACCAATTATTCCACACGAAACTCAATTAGCAATAGCACGTCGCATGAAATTACAGCGAAGGTAAAATAGTTATCTCTTGGTTCACATTAAAAATGTGAATTGTGAGTTCTAAAAATAATGACAAACTTTCGATGTGCAGAAAACAGCGTTTGTTGTGGATATCGATTCAGTATCTGCGCGCCTTGCCTTACAGACAATGGCACATTAAGACTAGAATCACTAGATGCTAAAACCTGAACCTAAAAAAAATCATTGATATCTGACACTGAAGCATCGTCTGTTTTGACATTATCTATCATCAAAGCCGCTTGAGTTAAATCCCTAACCAAAATTGATCATGAACATTCAAAAGCGATAAAAAAAAAAAAATGTCGTCATGGACAAGTAAAATAGAAATTATTCTAAAAAAATTCTATAGGGTTGAATAAAGTTAAAAATAAAACTAAAGTTCTGTCGAAGACATTTGGCACGTTGAAATAGTTATACATTTACGTTAGAGCTGAAATTTGGCCAACGCAACAGATTTTTGCGCGATGAAGCAACATCGTTTTTCTGCCTCGGAATAACTGCAAAAAACAATCGCAAATGCATGTGCCTGGCGGGAAATAAATGGATTTTATAGCGATATTTACCTGCCAACATCAAATAAAATTTGTACAAAAAAATCCGAAGAAAATTCCTCGAAACATCTTCAAATGCACTAGTTTGTTATCAGTGGACGACAAAGACCATCAACGAGTCTAGCTTATTATTATTTCTAGTGCATCGCTAACACTCAAAATATTAGTGAAATGCTAAACAATCGCGAATTATTTATGAAAAGATTTCTTATGAAATATTCAAAAACTCCATTAAAGCCAGCCCAGAACTCACAGCTCTCAAGAATCAGGCTGAGAGTTAGCAGACAAGCTGCACGAGCAACTCGCTGGAAGACTGTGGTGAGCAGGGAACGTTCAAGCCTGGACATTCGCATAGTATGGATGATGCTGGTCCTTAGTAATCTCCTCGGCTAACACCGTCTATTGCAGACGAGTATCCGAAGAAAAGAAACGTCATCAACTTTCCGGTAGCCGTTGCAATAGCTGCTGTAACCTTAATCCTCAGAGCTGGAACAATAACTGGCTTGGCAGGCTCTGCCAGAAAAGGTCTTCTAAACACATCTATTTTTTATTAAACTTTATGATCTTTCATTTTCAAAGACCAATAGCTAGCCGAGGCCTTGCGGTAACCTACCCACGTAGAATCAAATATGAGGCCCGACTTTCCTCATCAATACATATGGTATCCTATGAACTCAACGATTGCACTGATGATTTTAAACCTGATTACAATTCCGATTGTAATATGATAACTTAATGATTGTATATGATGATAACTCAAGGTCGTAGAGCCTTTAATAATGACGCGAACGTCAATCTCGTCGCGACAATCATGGTCAAATTATTACATCCTCTGCTAAACAAAGGTTTATAGCAAAAATAAATTTGTAGCAAGACCAGTCAGCCTTAGATAGCAAGCAAATAACGCACATTATTATCAAGAAATTTATCATTTTAATTATACCAGACAGCTTAGAAATGGTCTGAAGACGGCTGCCAGGATCTAGGCTGAACACACACACCCAACTAAATTAAGAAAAGAACATTAAAGTTAAGTTGAAACAATCTGTCCATGTAATTTCACTTAGAAGGTAACACAATAAATACACACTGAAGTCGTGCTTAAAGTGTTCGGTTGCCAATTGCTGCTTCTGTAAATGTCAAGTTTAAAAACAACAGAATCCACGGATATAATAGCCCTTGCACGTTATTTACGTTAAAATTCAGCAACGTCATCACTTCAACACTCAAGAGCTTGCATAGGCAACAATTCTGCAGGAAGCACCACGATGAGGCAAGAGTCTCACGAATACTAGTGAGCACCACGATGAGGGACAAGTCTTACCAACACTTGTGAACACTATGACGAAGCACGAGTCTCGCCAACACAAGCCAGCACTACAAATAAGTTACTAAAATATTGAAGCAGCACTAAGCTAAAAAAGGCGATTAGCTAACTTGAGACTCTCAATCACGCAGCTTAAGACATTTCTTACGAAGAAATGTTAGACTTTGGCCCTCTGACTTAATGATAGACTCTACTGAAGACGAGAACAAAACGTCCCACAACAACGATCGAATAATATTTGAGCAAAACAAAATGAAGAGCTCCCACACTTTGGTACTAAGACAATCGTACTTCTGGAAGAGTTGTGACATGAAAGTTAGAGATCTTAAGAAGTCTGTAATCCAAAGAATAGTCTGGGAACAAATAAAAAGGAAAGCATGCATTGGTAGGGGAAAATTTCTGCAGATGAAAGAAAGATCCGAGAAACAAATTCGCTACTCAGCACACAAATCTCGCAGATACAGTGCATGAGAATTTTGTATGATAAAATTTGATTTTTTTTCCTTGAAACTGAAAAATTACCAAGTGCGAATAGAGATTATTAAAACTTCACCGGAGTGAAGTTAAGAAGTAAGTTTAAGAAGAACCAGTGGGAAAGAAGTCTCGTAAAAACACAACCAGCCGATGAATTTTCGGTACCTGCGTGTGGTACCTAGCACCTCCAACACTTATAACATTCCTATGATCTTCGTTCAAGTTTCACAGCCCCTTAGACAGACAAATTCATACAATTATAACTAAGCAAGTACTGGACGAACACCCTGGGAGCTCATCGCGGACCACTTCATTGAGGTAAGGAAAGCAGGGCTGAAGCACCGCGTGCGCTCATAGCTCACATCAGGCAATTGAAACTTGAGACAATATCATAACTAAAAAGGCGGTACCTTTCAGCATTACAATTTTAAATAGATCGTTTTAAGGAGAGAATTCTCGTATGCATATTAATTATTTCTACTGGATGCTATATTAAGTAAGGCAACATACTTTTCAAGGCAATCGGGTTCAATTACATTCAGAGAACCAACGCCATCACTGAACACTTTCATTTAGATTACAGTAAAAATCTTGGTGGGATGTATGTATTTAGTGGACGGCAATATTAAAAATTAAAATAACGTGATTAACAAGCCGATGTATCAGAAGCACATATGGGATAAAACTTGATGGTAAGCATAGCACCTCATGGTGGCTTGATACCCAGAGATCGCGCGGAAGTCAGTGCTGAGTTTTTGATCAGTCTCCCGCACGATAAAACTAAAACAGCTTTGTACTTATTACACTCAAATATCAATAGACTTTTCAAGCACTATCGCAGAACAATAACGGGTCTTCTAAGGGTTAAATATATTATGCAATAATGAGAAGCCATTGATAAATTCTCGTGTTTAAAAATACGCAACAAAATCAACAACTAGCGAGGATTGCTACAAGTTTTATTGCATTCACATTTGAACAAGCGTCACGAACGGTCACGTGTCTTGCGTGAACTGCTCCAAGAAATTCTTGCAGTAATCGAAGACAGCAAAACTCGTGCCCACGGAGATGGGTCCTTTGATCCAGTTAAGCGACAGTCCCTTGTAGAGGCCATGCACGACGCCCTCCTCTCTGTGATGGTAAAGACATTTAACGTCATCACATCTGTACGTGACGCTGATCGAGGTTAACAAGCAGGTTATCAGACAGGATTGGCAATGATTAAATCAAAATTATTAAATCATGTGATTAAATCACTCGATTTTTCTATAAAAAAAATCATGATTTTTTTATTTTTTCGATTTTTCATATATTTAAATATGTTGAGTGGCAGTCTTTAATATATATATTGAGGTACTATTATTATTCATGGTTTAGTATAAATGTACTCTGAATGACAAATTGGTATATACGGTAAACTTGTTGCCTTTAGTGTGTATTAGGTTCAAATAAATTGAATGTTTTTGGTACAGAGGCATTAAGTGTTGCAATACATTGTACATAGCTAGCAGTTTAGCTAATTCTTATAAGGCTATAAGTAGTCTTTAACTATTTGACTATTTGTTATATATTGATTACAAATCATGGGCTGCAAGAAATTTTGCAACATTGCAGCATAGCAATCGGAATTCACTGTCATGGTTACTCCCTCCTCTGAGAACGACTCCAACAGTGTGTTGCAGCTAACGGCCCCCATCTTCCAGATACTGTTTTCAAAACATAAGTATTCTAAATGATATGCTATGCCAACCTCTAGGAAAATAAACTTTCTTCTTCATGTACCTCCATTACTCTTTGATTTTCCCTAAAAACTGCTCAATCGGTTCTGCCCCACCCAGTATATTGAGAAGTTGAGATTGTATTAACCTTTTAGGCAATTAGAAAGATTTTCCACCCTAATACGAGTATTCTAATTAAAATATTTTATTTCAATCTTTATATATTATAATTTAAAACTAGAAACAAAACAATTACAATTATTAGACTATATATAAAATAATTAAATGCAGTGAATGGATATAAAATATTTGAATTGTGCACATGTTTACTTCAAACAGAATTAGCTTTTCTCCTAACTTAAGTCTCCATTAAAGTCGTATGAGGTTTGTTTGGTTATCATTCAGTTTATGTTTAGTATTGGATAAATAGGAACAGTGCAGTCAGTCACTCAGTCACTACTAGTCGGTGTGTATAGAGGGTAGAGTCTGGTAGATTTATAGGACATAAAACTAATAGATCTATTGATAGTGCTGTGCACTGTGCAATCATCTACCTATCTGTTATGTGACTCCTCAATGTTTAAAAGATCTGCATTCTTGAAGTGTTTTTGTATTTAAGCCAGTTAAATGGTCAATATTTAGCTCATTACCTTGCTCCATACAAACTTTACAAAGCTAATGAATAGACTTATCAATAATTGTTAAAAAAAAATCATGAAAAAAATAAAAAAAACATTGATTTTTGATTTTTTTGATAAAAAAAAATCACCAACCCTGTTATCAGACCAAGAAACATCACTTATCATTGAGGGGCGTCGTGTGGATTTCCATCAAGAATAAACATTAATTAGATACTTGTCACCCAAATACTCATCGAATCTTCATGCAATGACAAATGCTAAGATTCTAACTAATTTTATGAATATTTGTGAAATTATATCTTACACGATTGCAACTAGCAATAGGCAATTCCTAGTATACAACAGCTTTCTCATCACTAGAATTCAGATCATCAAGTCTGAGAGGATACAAATTGAACTCACTTGTACACCTTAGCGAGGGTGCTGTAAATGGTGGAATAGGCACTAGAGTTGCCAGTGAGCGAAGCAGTCTGCATGCGTCTCCTGGCGATGTCCAGAGGGTAGGAGCTGGTCTGGCCGAAGAGTCCCGCCACGGCACCAAACATCATGCGCTCGAACGCGTTGGGTGCGGTTACACCGCTGGCTGCGTGGCGCTCTTCTAATGATAACTCTTCCAATGCTTTCTCTTGCCTAGCTGTTGATGACAACACAATAATGATTAAAACAGCTTTGAATTTTGAATGAACCACTAAACACGCATTAAATAGAATTGGTAAATTAATAACTTATAGGTACTGTAGACTCTAGATCATAATTTTGAAATTAACTGATATTCCATCTTCATCAACAGCACACAGACCGAAATGATACTGCACGTCTGTCGAGCTTTATAACCAATCCTAGCGAGCAGTTATGGACGCATTTATCATAAAATATGCTATCCTTGCATGAATCCAGAATCAATGATTAAATGCAGATGACTGGGTTACAAGTGAAGGTTTAATATGATCACTTACTCCGGTGATGAGCCTTCAGGGTCTCGTAGATACCGAAGCTGGTGCCGGCGTAGGGGATCACTCCCAGCATGGTGGGCGCCAGGCCACGGTACAGCTTCAGGAAGCCTTCACGCTGCACGATCTTCACGAACACCTGCCACACACTAAATTGTTTAGCAAGTATAAAAGCTAATATCAAGCTCTTTGTGGATACACTGTCATCAAAGTAATGCCATCAAATACACTGTCATCAAAGTAATGCTATTAAATACACTGTCATCAAAGTAATGTTATCAAATGCACTGTCATCAAAGTAATGCCATCAAATACACTGTCATCAAAGTAATGCCATCAAATACACTGTCATCTAAGTAATGCCATCAAATACACTGTCATCAAAGTAATGCTATTAAATAAACTGTCATCAAAGTAATGCTAACAAATAAACTGTCATCAAAGTAATGCTAACAAATACACTGTCATCAATGCAAAGATATTACGAAACAAAGAAAGTAAGTAGAAAACAGGGCTGTTTCACACAACACGAGGTACCTGAGACAAAGTGCGGTACGTGTCACGAGGGGTGATGGCCATACGTGCCCTGGCAAGGTCAAGAGGATACGTGAGGAACTGAGACGTGACGCCGGCCAAGCTGCCAGCCACGAACCTCTTGTATGGAGGACTGTAACACAAAATTGACCATGAGATGCACAGAATTGAAAGCCATTGAAAAGGACATAGAATCTACTGAGATAACAGAGAGGTTTAAATTTGCTAATTTCATTTTCATTGAATGCAACTCGTTGAGTTTATTCATATATAGCTTCTTGGAGCCCCTATTTACTATACACTGATTTGAGGCAACCAATTTGATCAATGGATACTACATGAATGAGGGATGAAGGAGGGACAATCTAACAGGGTAAATGATTGGATGATATTAAAGAACCTTATATGCAGGTATAAATAACAAGGGATAGAAAGAGAAAATAAAATAAATATAATTAAACAATTCAATATTAATTTAGTTCAGCAATGCATTTTCATCAACAGAAAATAATATTGCAGCAAACTTATAACTCGACAATAATGATTACACTTACACATCAGTAGAATTGTCAATGAGTAAAACTTTCTTCCACTGCTCATGAGCAGCAAACTGTGTGGCAGCATAGGGGATAATTCGTGCCATGGTGGCTGAGTTGCCTCGCCAAAGGCTGAAGAAACCTTCTGCATGGTAGCATTTGTGCATATACTTGAAAGACTCCATGGTTGAGTAGCGCTGGTTGGTGGCCTGCCATAACAGCCAGGAAATAAAACTGATGCATAGTATTTGGACTCAGATTTGTCCCATGTTAAAGATAAAGAACAGCAGACACTACCTTGCCTGTAAAAATATATTCTAGCTTGAAAGTAATTTTTTTAGACAGCAAGAAACAGACCACAGAATCGTCTGATATAGGTAGTCTTCATCACCAAAATAATAAATTTAGAATCTAACTCTTTACGACACATTCTGAAACATCCCAGAGCATAAAGTGTTAGGAACAAGAAGTATTGGTCATCAGGTTAAAGCCTGATGACTGAAAAATCAAGTGTCTATATCTAAGAACATATTTTAAATATTATCACAAACCTGAAAGTTTATTTTAGTTCTATCAATGGGGGCAATGGTTGTCTTGGCTACAGCCCCAGCTGTTGCTCCTGCCACCAGGGACACAAGTACACTGCTGCCTTTCTTCTGCACAAAGAAGATTGTAAGGGAATAATAACATGTTCATATTTTAAAGAAACTATGCAATCAAATTTATACCTATACATTAAACATGACCTTAATGCAACCACAAAATAAAAATGCATTGATAGATATGTCTTAGTAAAAAATTTCATCAACAAAAAATTTGAAATGAAAATGACACATCATTGGAAGGACAAGTTCACATTTTGTCTTGATACTTTACTGCATTGAAATTTTTTCATATATACCTATATAATGAAAACCAAAAAAAGATCAAAATTGCTCAATTATCAGTGTTTCCAGCAACAATTCAGGCTTTGCTAGCTAATTGAGATTGGCAGAAACAAACCTCACTGGATGCAGGCTTCTCAGCAGAGACAGATTTTTGAAGCACATGACAATCAACATGTTGGTTGTGAGAGGATTTAGCCTCAGAATTTTTATTTGAGTTTATAATAATAACATTGGTTTCCACAGGAATTATTGGGGCCTGGGATAGAGGAGGATGGGTGGGTTGCAGGGAGCTCAGTTCATTAATTCCAATAACTCCTGGTGATTCTAAGCCTTGACTCATTGCATAATACACTTATTTGGTTGAGGCTAGGCCAGTGAGCACAATAAATCATAATCTGTAGGAGAAAGTCAAAATTTTACAAATTAATGATGTCCATCTTCAAGATAAGCTAAAGCAAAACAATTCTTACTGATATTAATACTATTTTCTTCTATCCAAACCTATGCATAGAGGAATTACTAAAATTTATTTTCATAAACACTAGCTGCAATATAAGTTACAAGCAATTAAACTTCAATGACTTGTACAAAATATAAGCTAGTTGAAGTTATTTCTAATATTATTCAAAGATATACCATATGTATAATGCCACCAATAGAATTGCAAATAAAAATAATATTTTGGAGCGCATGATGGCAGCATCATTGAAATATTGCAAAACTAAGAATAGTGGTGTAAACTTCAACATTTTACCATGTTTTTCTTGACTCTGTTTCGTGTGTGTCTGTCATAAAAAATTCAAACCTTAATTTAGAGCACTTCTAAACATCCTAGTAAGTGGAAATTTTGCATGCATGTTTATGCTGCCTAACAATTCAAGATTTGATCATCAGAAATAATAATTTAACATTTTTTTTTAAGGGAACCGACCTGGGGACCGAATAACTTCTACAGTTATTATCCGATCATCATGAAACTTCACATACATACTTAAAATGTAAAAAGAAAAACATTTTGCTCGTATGAATTTTTCGAAAAAATTGATAGAAAAATGCCCATTGATAAAAATTTTCTATGTCAAATAGTTTTTGAGTTGTGGGGGTTTTTGTTAAAAAAACGAAAAGTGGTCTAAGTTACCCCGCCGGTCTAAGTTACCCCATTTTACGGTAATAGCTTTTTTTTGTGGGTCACATTTTTAATTTTTTAACCTATTAGATATGCAAACTTTTCAAATGTTTCTATTGTGTTACGGTATGTAGCCTCAGTATCAGGCCTTTAATGCCCATTGACAAAATTTTTCTATGTCAAATAGTTTTTGAGTTGTGGGGGTTTTTGTTAAAAAAGCGAAAAGTGGTCTAAGTTACCCCGCCGGTCTAAGTTACCCCATTTTATGGTACAAAAAAAAACACTAAAAATTCAAGGTTTAGAATTGAGTTTTTTCTCAAACATCCACACTTGCCAACCCTTGAAATTGATTTGAATGGCTAAAATTGCTAACTAAAAAGTAGAAAATAAATAAATATAAAAAATATTTTTAAAAACCACAGTTTTCTGGTTTTTACAAAACTCAAAATAGTGAAATAAAACAAATAAAAAAAACTTTAAAAAACCACGTTTTCTTAACGGACAAAAAAGAAAAACATTTACTCTTACCGTCTTACGTAACATTACACAACGTTTTACCTACATAACTTAAATGTTATGTAAGAGTAAATGTTTTTCTTTTTTGTCCTTTAAGAAAACGTGGTTTTTAAAAGTTTTCTTTATTTCTTTTATTTACTTTCTATGTAGCATAAAGGAAGTTATGAAATCGTACATTTACTGGCTCTAGAAATTTGATGAAAAAAAAGAAGTGATATTTTGAAAACATACTTCTGTTAAAGTCTATGGTATATATAATATAAAAAATATTTGCCATATTAAAAAATTTTGCTTGAAAAAAAGTTGCACACAGGATTGGCTTGAAAGCATGATTGATGGAATTTGCGTAGCTTAATCCCCTAAAAACTGGCAAGATAAGGGACACCCCCCCAGGGTAATAACCAACACACCTAACAACACATTTACAGTAGAACATACATTTACAGTACAACAAAGGCTCCAGTTAATTAAATAAATTGATTAACAACAAAGAATTTTGATTACATTTACCTCATTCAGCAGAAAAATTCACTTAATGGAAAATTAGGGCATCATTGGTCATTACAAAATTGTGCATAGAATGTCATAGACAGAATTGTGCACCGGGCAACATAGAATGAAAGGATTTGACCTAAACTATGATTTATATCCCCAAAAAATATGGTTATGATGGTTGTCACTAAAATGTTCCTTTCTATTTCAGGTATGTTTTATTTACCTTTTTATGTTATAGTGAATTCTCTTGACCCAATTAGAATGGTGCAAAATTACACTTTACAAGCCATCTTGTGAGCTTCCTGATACACAGGTTGGGAAAATTCCTACTTCTTTCTGAAATATAAAGGCTCTAACATCATATAATTTCAGTAGGTATGAAATCTCACAGCTCTATTGTGATGTATTTGTGTTTGATTGAAAAAAATCACGGCACTTCGAAACATGTCATTTCATAAAATTTTCAACTTCCGCAATCAGCATTACTTTACTGGTGCCAAAAAAATATCCTGCAGAATGTAATCATTGTAATGATAATAACTTAACTAGTCAACCTAAACCTTTTGTTGAAGATTGTGCATAGTTGCGGTCACATCAGAGCGGTCAGACTGCATTAACATGTGTTCAGCTTACAGTAGACAAATGTTGTTTTTGCCGTTTGACTGTTCTAGGGTAAAAGAAGATATTTGGGGTAACACGTGCATGGTCTTTAAAAAATAAATTCACGGCATGTAAATGGCTTTTCATGGCTGAGATACGGAATTTACGGCTTACAAAAATGGAAACACGGCTCAAGGAAATGGAATCATGGCTGGCAAATCCATAATACCATGGCTCAAAAAATTCATTTGTGTCTCGCAAAGTAGATATATTCCATGCCTGCAGATACAGAAGAAATGCTATATGGCTGCTGCCGGTTGGCATTGGAAATTTTTAATGGAACCTGACAACCTGTTCCTAACTGGACCTAACCTGCAAGGTTTTTGTTGATTGGCTAGGTTTTTCTGACCGCTGGATGGACTCTAAACGTAGAAAAAACCTATTGGCTAGGTTTTTCCTGCCGCCGGTGCCGGACGGACTCCAAACATAGAAAAACCTAGCCAATCAACAAAAACCTTGCAGGTTAGGTCCAGTTAGGAACAGGTTCCATTAAAAATTTACAATGCCGACGGCCAAAAACGGATTTCAGATTCTTAATCTACACCCCAAAAAACATATAATTAAATAAAAAGAAACTTTTTTTTGGATGCACTTAATATAAACTCAAAAGTAATACCAAAAATTACCAACATTAGTTTAGCTGCTACAACTGTACAACATTTCTACGAAATGTTGGTGGACTGTCCTTTATTACCCCGCCCGTCCCGGACCCTTATTATCCCATTATACTTTGCTGGTCCACTTATAGGACTCAAAATTGAACTCGAAGGAGAGTCTAAAAAACTCTCTGCTTTGCCACTAGGTATGTTTGACGGGACACTCTGCAGTCTGCAGTCTTGAGTCTGCATGCTTCAAACCCTCAAAAGTTCAAAACTAAGATTCATTTAAAGCGTTCCAGTTCTGCAAGAAGGCAACTGGATTACCCCGTTGCTGTTCCCAGGAGTTTTTAAAGGAAGCTTTTATTTTGAGTGTGACACCTTACCTTACAAGTTACAAAAAAGCATATGGAATTTTTCAGAGATGCCATAAGATAGCCCTCATAAGTCATAAACCCAAAGGCCATTAGAAATTAGAATGAGCCCAAACTTGTTGTTTATGAAATGTTCCATGGTAGGAAGTTGCTAACAAAAATCTCTCAAAGCCTCAAAACCGTACCTTTTTTTTAGTTTTTACCCTGTTTGATGGTATCTAGAACTTAGAAGACTAGAATCTAGATTAAGCAACGGGAAGGGGTANCTGAAAATACCAGATTTGTGAAATCAGGTATAGAAATATACCATCTGGCAACGCTGTATAATACGGTAGTAATATTCATTCCGTATTCGCATAATCGCATTAACAAAGAGCCGGAACCAGGTCAACTGAACCGAAGCCAGAGGGAATGTCGCGAATTGTATTAAAATAAATGTAGATGATCTTTTCCAAATTAATTATTTTAGACGGAGTTGAAGCATCTAGCGATAACCTTTTAACTTGATTCTTTAATAAATAGAGCTCATTCCGATAGAAAATTTTGTCACTGTTTGTGTTGCAGGTCACACAGATTCGCTTATCAATCAATAGAAAAATATCGAAGTTGCCACCTTATATGATTATTTAACGCATTTTTATATCAGACAGTAAATTATACGAATTATGAACAATAGATTTGTAACCCGACTAAGTCAAAAAATTCGCAGGCGGGCGCTTTTTAACGCATTTTCTCATTTATGGAAAAAAGATGCTATTGTGCTCGTCATGTCCGTCCGTCCGTGACTGACAGACGGACGTGAGAAAATGCGCTCTTGGTCACTCACTGCAGTGGCCAGTGAGTACTGATCTAATTTTTGTTTTTAGATATAGCTATGAATGTGCTTCTGGCGTGTACGTTGATTGCTTCGAGTGTTCAGGCTGCGCCATGACAGACCTGCAGCATTTGCTCACAAGTTCATTTTATTAGTTATAATTTTACAATGTTTGAAGAAGCAGTTAGGCGTAACAATTGCTATAACTTTACTCGTCAATGCTCAACAAAGCTCAAGTCGTCACAATAATTCACCAATAATTTAAAGCGCCGCCCAAATCAAAACAAGATTAGTATTATATTTAATATCGTTTAATTTGTGGAAAACAATTTGACATCTGCTTTAATTTTACTCAAGAAGTAATCGAATTTTGTTCCAAGATGGCCTACTAATTTTATTTAGTTAAAACACTTGACTAAATGGCAAGTCATGAGTCTTACTGGAAGTGAAAGGCCATGGATCATCTGACCTGGACTGTAGGTTTATATGGATAACGTCATAATAATAATAATTGCGGTTTCAGCGTTTATTAGGCCGTAGGCCTGTCGCCGATTCTTAACATCGCAGAACATTCACAGTAATTTGCAGTCTCGAACTCGCAACTCACTGCTACAATTCTGCTGTGTTTAACCGCCCGGCCTCCTCGCCGATTCAGACCAGAAACTGACGCGCAGAGCTGGGATCGAACCCGCGCCTCTCTGCTCTAATCTTGGTACTCTGAACTTTAACCACTGGGCCACCCTACCCTGGGTTGTGTTGGCAAAGGAAACAAAACATATCCAATTACAACATATTCATTGTTTAGATACAACAAATTCACTTCATAGTAGAGCACAGCGGTCAAGAACTCCCATAGGTACATTCTTTAGCAAGTGAGTAAGACATTTATGTACAGAACGCCACGCGCGTCTTGCAGCGTAGCTTAACCATTTTTTTCTCCCACTTGGACACGGATGAAGTCCAACACTTCAATGCCGGCTTCATCTAAAATCTGCAGAAAAGATATAATTTCGATGAATAGTTAAAATTTGCATAATTTTGTTATACGATTTAGATTGAACAAGGTTAATATCTACCTAAATGAGACACGCTTGTTAGCTGTAGTTTGATACGGGCGAACAGTGAAAGCAATTTCAAAATGTTCATATATATTCGAGTCAAGACATGATAAAATATTTTCCTGATAACACTTCGTATAAAGATACATAAAATAGTCAATTAAATTGTATTAACAGGCCTTGTTAACAAGTAACGGTCGACAGACAAAATAATTCAAATGATTTCATATAATGGCCATTAAATTCAGGTTCTATTCCGAGAGCAAGATTGTTAGTTATTACTTGCAAACTTTAAAGCCAAACCACGATGAAAAGACAAACGGAGCAATTGAATATTCAAAGAACGGTAACAATTCTTCGAGCTGTTTAGCAGGCACGTGCACTAGGATCATAACTTTCCTCGACGAATTGGATGCTTCAAAATTTTAATTGTCAAAATGTAGGAGCAAGAAAGAGAGTACCAAGATAGTTACTTATTACAGATAGCTGCAAATAGATAGCTGGCCCTTGGCCCTACTCAGTCGCCTTGTACCACTAGGTTCCACCATGCATCACTAATGCTACACATTTAATTTTAATGCATAGCAGTTGTTATATTCGAACATGCTCAACACGCAAGAATTATTGGAAGAATGAACAAGTTTCAACTCGGCATAAGTTGAAGGCGTGTTGCAACAGTGGCTGATCACTGTCTATTGTCTTGCTCAGATATAACAAGAAAATAGTTAATGATTTTCATTGAATTGATCCCGTAACATAGGTTGGAAAACAGTGGACTTAGCAGACCAAAGCTGCATTTTATCGTGGCTTGATAACAAATATGTTTGATCAGCAATATTCACAATCAATTGCAATCCAGACAGAAATAGGAGCTTTGAGTGCTCAATCAGACACAGAGACATTAAATTTCGATTTTTCAATGATAATTTTTTACAATTTAGAAAAATTGCAAATTTTTCACTGATTTGTCGGGATTAACAGCCCCCGGTGGCAATGTTGAATCATAAGAATGGGATGTGAATGATGTGTAACTATGCCTCCTCAAGGTTATGCGAGATAAGCTGTTGTTAGTTGGTCGTTTTGAAACATATAGCGATTAGATGTGTATTTATTTGAGACTATTTTGCAAGCTCACATTTGCACAACCTCATAACATCAGAAGATCTCACTTGTTTCACTGTGAACTCCTCGTCATCCAGCCATTCCTGTTGCAACAGGAACTTGTCTTTTGGGCGCTTCTCAACTATGGTAACAGGAGCGTCTGTGTTCTCCTCTTCCTCCCCTGTAGCCGCAGGAGGGGCTGCAGGCACATCTTCTTGGGGGTTAGGGGACGTTTCAAGCTCCTCGGCGTACTTTTGAAGGTCTTCCTCGGTACCAATACATTCTGGGTTCATACCTGCAACAAGAATTAAAATCTAGTAACAACCATCTCTCGCTACCAAATATTTAAGTTCGTTATAGAATGAAAGCAAACAGGACAACAATGCAGACCTAAACATAAGGAAGGCTTTTCACGATCACTTGTGTATACTTGCCGGAGGCATGTGGAACGTGAGGGAAGGAACTGTGCCTGCCAGTGCTATTTAGTCCTCACACGTGCACTCACGGTCCGAATTGCATTGATGACGGGTATGCAGCGAACCCTCGCATTCCTTTCAAATTGTGACCAGAGCCTTCACCAAGTAAGCTTACTATCTAAAAGCGGCAACGAGTACACAAATTTATGTTTGCATCTATTTACAACCTGCAACAACCATGGCAGCCTGCCACCGCCACCCAATAGTCAGGGAGTACAGCAAACAAGTCATGCAACCAGTCACAGAATTCGTGCTTAATTTGTGTAGCATTTTCAGCTTTTAAATTCATTCCGTAGATGGCTGAATGCACGGGATTTCATTGTGTGCAAAAGTACTACGTGTTTTAGAAATTATCTGCAAACTTATTTAGTGGTAGAATTAGAGTGTAGATTATATATTTACAGAGGAGATAGACATCTAATCAAATCTAACCAGGAATGGGGTAAGATCATCAAATCGCACCACGAGCCCTGGAAATCCTACATTTTTAATTCCATTATATAATTCCAGTTTGAATTCAAGCCTACGACCACCGAAAGTAAACCGTATATAGCGCAACCACGCAGCGAACGCACCAATGACCTGCAGACAGAGTTGCTTAAGAACCCCCAGGTCGGCAGGTTTTGTCCGGCGCACTGTGACGATCGCCGCGAACTTGCCGAGCAGCACCGCAGGCGGGTCGACGCCGCCCCCTGCCACGGTGCTGCCGGCGGGTGGTGGGTGCGTGTAGGCGTACAGCTCCACGCCGCCACCTCCAGTCCACATCTGACATGAAATGCACACTAAATAACTCGCGGAGTAATGTTTCCGCTCGCAATTCATAAATACAGGGCCGTAATGAATGATATTCAAGCCTGGGAGCGAGGTGGTAAGGAAGTCAATAATGATGGATTATACTAGCATCTATGGAACGATGAATATAGCCAATACTTCTAATTTGGCACTCGATGCTCTATAATCAGCTATTAAATTAGTAACTTTCTGTCTATTATAATGTATGCTTATTACCGTCAAACAGGGTAATAAGGGACGGGGGGGGGGTAAATCAGGACAGTCGTCCCACATTTCGTAGAAATGTTGTAGCAGCTAAACTAATCAAAATATTGCAAAACTAAAAATAGTGGTGTAAAGTTCAACATTTTTACTATTCTATATAGCATGCAGCATAAAACAAGGTAAGAAATCATACATTTAATACCTCTAAAAATCCCTAAAAAAAGTGAAAAGTGAGATTTAGGAAAAGTATCTCTGCTAAGGTCTGTTGCAACAAAAAATTATTCACCGTATTAAAAAATTTTACTTACATAAAAGTTGCACACAGGTGTTGGCTTAAAAGCGTCGTTGACGGAATTAGTGTATCTCATTCCAGAAAAAAAGGGGCAACCATTTCCACAAAACGGGGTAATAAGGGACACTTCCCAGGTTAATAAGGGACACCCCTAAAAACGCATTTACAGTAGAACCTAGATTAGCAAAGGCTTCAGTTAATGAAAAAATTAATCAACACATTAATAATAATGCAGTAATGTATGGATATGTTAATATCATATCAATATGGGAAAAACATTAATAAATCAAAATTATCATTTATTATACATCTACATTATCTACAAAGGATGATGAGGACTACAGAGTACCTACTGTTAGTAATGGATGAGTACACTCTGCATGCTTCAAACGTTTTAAAATTAAGTTTTATTTCAAGTGTCCTGGATTACCCTGTTCCCATTGGTAATTCATTATGCTTTTATTTTGCATCTGGCACCTTACTAATAGCATATGGATTTTTTTGGAGATGCCATACGGTAGCCCTCGTAAAGGCCTTTAAAATGAGCCAAACTTCTTTATGAAATGTTTCTTGGTAAGAAGTTATTAACAAAAAACTGTCCCTTATTACCCTTTTTGATAGTACGTTCTTTGAAAATGTAACATCTAAAAATTAAAACAATGTGCCATGGAGAGTCAGAAGCCCAACTTAGCCTGAAAAATGTGAGCATTAGTTTACATACAAATCATACAATGCTAGTTATTGTCAGGTATGACAATTTTCATACAATTAAGCATCTGACATACACTCCATTCATTCAATACTCTCTCAACCCTTCCAAAGCTGTTTCCAAAGGCTTCAAGATTGAAATCAGATCAAGGACATGACCAGCCATAAGGAAATGAAACTATCAAACAAAATTATCATACCTTCTTGCAGAGGCTATAAAATGTGAGAAGTTTTCTGGAATATCAACAACCTGGATAGTAGCCAGGAGAACCACTTGCCTTCAGCGCTCGAGACAGTGACATGTTTTCACCCAGGAGGCCGATAGAGAGTGCCACCTTGTCGCCTAAAGTTTTGCCATCACTTGCCATGATGTGCGAGACCTGCTCCGCGTTCCATAACTCCTGCCAAACATACATTCATATTATTGATAATTAGTCCATCTTAGACAATGAGGTGTCCATAAAATGATACCAAAATAAAAATAACATACGGAGATTTCATATATATTAACACTTGCATAGGCAAATTGCTACCTATATATGGTCACTTAAAATCTCCTCCTAAAAAGAACTACAACAGCTTCTGGCTTGTGTTTGCTGTTCCGTTGTCATGCCTCTGCCTATCACAAAACATCTGACCATCATTCAGCACTGACTAATTTCTGACCATCATTTCATACTGACTAATTTTTGATCATCATCCCCTACCATGCCCAAGAATTAAAATATCAGCATTTAAATGAAAATTTTGACCCAGAATCCAATATGGATGTTCTTTCTACATTTTTTAAAATGCAGAAGTATCAAAAATCTACTTGATAACTAAAGTAATTTAATGAAATAGTAGTAAATGTAAAGTTGGTTTGTTACACTTTACATTTTCAGCTTCAAATATATATTAAATTAATTTTTTTCTAAAGCACACAATTCTAGAGCTCTTATAGTTTGACACTTGACATGTTGATACCGTACAGTAAAATCTATATGATTGAAAAAACATTGCGTAAATCAGTACCAAGAAAAGGAAAGGAATCCGTCACATCAATGAGTAGTATTGCAAATCACTCGCAATGGCTGATGATGATGATGATCACCACAACGTCACTCGACTGAGTGCCGCCCTGGCCCACCCCCCACTGGAGCGCCGAGCCGGTCTTGCCACACTCTGACCAGTTGGGACACTTCCACTGGCTTATTCCATAGATCTTCAGGTTGCAGGCTGGTTGGAATTTCAGCACACCCAAACAGATGTTGTATGTTGTGGGTGTGGTTTTGAAACAGAGGGCATGATGGTGTTGGTAATTAGCCTCATCGATCTTATTGAGGTATTCCCTAAGCATTGGGCATTTCACCGCCCTTAACTGCGCCTATGTAGGCCTCATGCCTCGGTCCAAAGTCCTCTCTAATTCGTTTACTTTAGGTGCAGGTGCATTTAGATTTTAGAATCTTGTTGGGTGTTCTCGATTCTAGGTATCTCTCGACTGCGGTGGTATGCAATGTCTTCATGTTTCTATTCACCTCCACACTGATATCACTGTTGTTGTTGTTGCAGTCATACACTTTTATGCTATACTCGCTGTTGTATACCTATGGTCTTTTTCATGAGTCTGATTGGTTCTTGGTTTATCAGACTTCTCAGTGGGTGTTCTTCCAGTTTGCTCTTCTCCCTCAGTTGCGAGGCCGTCATCTGCACATGGTTCTTCAGAGGCAGGACAGATGTTTCATCGTGAAGATTTTGTGCGTAGGTGTCGCGTGTGTGTCCTGTGGCAATTCTCAGGGCAGAGTTCTGAACAGTTTGCATTTTCTGCCAGCCACTTTCCGATGTTATGGGACCCCATATACTACTTCCATACTCCAGAACTGGACGTATCAGCGCCTTGTAGGTTTGCACAATAGTCTCCGTGTCCTTTCCCCAGTCAGCTCCAGATAGGGCTTTTAATATGTTGATGTTTTTCTTTGCTTTGCTCGCAGTGCTTCTTACATGTTCAGAGTAGGTCATCTTTGGATCAAAAGTCACTCCCAAGATTCTCAGATGTTTTTCCATTCCCAACGTTGTTCCTCTTACATTGAGCTCCAGGTTGACACTGTACTGCTTGGGATCCGGTGTTAATAGTGTGACTAGAGTTTTCTCTGTGTTGAGCAACAGGTGGTTGTTCTCTATCCATTCTGTAAGGCTGTTAAGGTATGTAGTGATGTTGGATTTGGCCGTCTGTAGACCTTTATGACTTGCCAATACCCTGATGTCATCAGCATAGGTCACCACTTCAATTCCCACTCCTTCTTGCGGTGTTGGTAGGTCCGACATGTATATGTTAAACAGTACTGGGGACAGCACTCCCCCTTGAGGTACTCCTCCATGATAATAAGTTCTTTGTCTTGATTTGCTTTCGCAGTAGTCCACATAACCTTTCCATCCTCTTAGATAGTTTGCTAGGAACTCAACAATCTGTTTAGGTATAGGTGTTAGCAGTAGCTTTTGTCGTGTGAATTGATCGTGTCAAAAGCGCTACTCATGTCTAAGGCTACCATTATCGTTCATTTGGGAGGCGCCTTTTCATTAAAACCGGCACAGATGACATCGTTTATTTTGTGCAGGGCTGATGTTGTTGAATGCAATCTTTTGTATCCATGTTGGTGTTGGATGTTGGGGATGTCTCTTTCAATTTTGTTCAATAGAACTCTTTCCAGGATCTTCACAATTGGTGACAGAAGCGAGATTGGTCTGTATGACTTGCCAATGTTACGATCTTTTCCCGGCTTTGATATGGCCATTATTCTTGCTAACTTCCATTGTTCTGGTATGTTGTTCCTGTTGACCACTTCATTGAATAGCCTTGTTAGGTGTTTTATGGCCACTGGTCCAAGGTGTTTTACGTGTACTGGTGTTATTCCATCTGGACCCTCTGATATCTTGCTTTTTGATCTTGCTATTGCCTTCTTAACCTCATCTTTGGTTATTACAACCTCCTCTCTCACTATCTTCTCTAGCTTCCTGTTAGTTGTTCTTTTGAGTCTGCTGCTCACCTTCTTTGTGGATCCCGTGTATAGCTTGGCAAAACCTTCTGCAATTTCTTTCTTGGTCTTTTTCAGCTTCGTTTGATCATGATATTAGTTACTCTTTCCTTGGTCTTACCCTGAATTCCCTTCATCACTTTCCAGTATTTATCCATGTTTTTCCTTTCATCCCAGTCTTCTGCAACAAATGTTTTCCATTTTTCCCTCTTATGCTTCTTTATGTTTTCATTGATGTTGTTGTTCAACTCTTTTACTCTCTCTGGGTCTTCTCCAATCTCTCTGGTGTTGTCTCTTTCTCTTATTTGTTCCTTTATGCACTCTGGTAGGGGATTTATTTTTAATTTTACATTTCCTTGTTTTATGAATTTCTTGCTTGCTTTCCTTATTGCCAGTTCTACTCTCTTTGTTGCCTCTCCCATGTTATATGGTCTTCCATCGTCTACTGTTAGCATACTGTCAACATATTCTTTGTAGCAATCCCACTTTGCTTTCTTGAAATTAATATAGGTCTTCTGTTTTCTTATACTCTTTCTTTTCCTTTCTGTTTTCTTTTACTCTTTTCGCAATGGCTTACTTAATTCTTCAGAAATTTTAACCAAATGTATTATATACATGCTTACATGCATTAGCATGAAACATCTGACAGGAGAAAGAAATGGGATAATATTCATGTTCAGCCGAATTTATGAAAAAACTAGGGAATACATTTAACGTTTTAAATTTGTCAAGGTAATATCAAGAAATTTTTGCGCCAGAAATATTTTGATCAAGTTACTCACCAACTTGTTATTCAGACAAAACAGTGGATATGAAGAGTCATGAAGAATTCCAACTATCAAGCAAATTGTTGCAAAGAGAAATTATTTTACTGATAAGCCTAGCAAACTACACATGCCTTGTGAATCATAGAAGCACCACTTCCTGATGGCTGTGAGCTGGACTGAGCAGCAAGGCAAGACTGTGTCAATTCTTGGGCCAACTCCTTGAAAACACTGTTGCGAGCCACAAAGTCTGAACAAGTAAAGAACATCACAAAGCGACTGTCAACATTACAGCTATAGCACTATAACATTCAATTAAAACATTTTGATATAACAGTGCATTGTTTGTGAAGCAAATAATAATTGACTACTTTTACTATCACAAAAGTCGAGTTGAAAGGGTTAGAACTTTCATTTCATTTCTGTACATTTTTTCACAAACAGCTCATTCTTAAACTAACCTCAACATCAGTAAAAAGTTGAACTAAATTCCAAAATAATCTGCAGTGTTTTATCAAACAATTAATTGTGAAATAATGAAAGTTAACAATGAAATCATACAAGTTGACTTGAGTACAGAAGTATAAGCTAAAAGTAAACTTGGCTGAGTTCACAGACAGACCAGTTTCACAGTTGAGTTCCATGAGGGCAGCATGGCTGCTGTCAGAACTAACGGAAACGCCCAAGAGCCCCTGGCTTGTGCTGCGACCAGCTAATTTAGTTGCCTTAGCCCAACCTTGTGCTTGAGCTTGAGCTGCTAACCATTTATCTGCCTGCAAACACCAATAGATAATGGTTACTGTAAATTATTCAAACAAGCAAAATAAATTGAAGCCTCTCAAAATTGACAGGTTTTAAACAATAGGCACCAATAAGGGTAAAAAGTTAATAAGTCAATATCAACAAAGTTAAAATTTGATATAACAGTTAGTTAACTGTTAATATTATAAATTGCTTTTTGATTGCTATAGATAAAGTTGTAGCATAATATCTCAAAGGTTATGAATCTACCTATCTTCTAATTTGGATAGCTAATTGTTGATATTTCATATTTTGTATATTGTTTCATCAGAATACTGTCCCTGTTATCATAATAATCCTTAAACTTAGGTAATTCTAAGTAAGCAACAACAACTGCTAAGTTTAAAAAATAATAATGAAAATATAAGAATTCCAATAGAAAATCATAAGTTATAGTCTCTACATTTTTATTATTAAAAGTTCATAAAAAATTGATTCAATTACAATTTTAAATTTCTACTATTTTGTAACATATGATCACACCAATTTTTGAAAACCCCTCCAGAACAATGCTGTAATGGTGGGTTGTTATAACTTCATTTCAGAACAGCACTTACCTCATCAAAATTGTTCTCATGAAGCTGAAGTGCTTTTTTGCAATGGCTGATGGAGTAGCCTGTGGTTTTTCTTAACTTGCTAAGGAGGTTCTTGTCTACAGCTAGAGCAGCAGTTCTAAGCTTAGCTGTGCTGTGAAAAAACTTGCATGATAGTGATGCAATCATTATGAGCATATTAGGATTAATGAGATATTGTGAATCTGCTTTATAACCTTGTAATTTACTTTACTTCATTTAGTTTCCAGAAAACTTGTACACTGATTAGAATAAAAGAGTGAAAAAAATTAAGTTTGGACAAGTAACGTAATTCATTTCATACTATATACAATACAATTATGCATAGCAGGGAGTGACTAGGAGGACAAGACTTTAAGATCTCTACAAAACTAGAAGCATGAGCAGTATAGAATTGTGTAAGACAATCAAGCATGTGTTAATAGAACTTGCAGCTGCTGCCTGCTGGTATGCCATTTACCATGCAAAAGATTATTATTGCACTAGTGACTAGAAGTCTAGAAAAATATACCTATAATATACAATAAATTTTGAAATAAGCCTATAGTAATAGTATAAGGCTGCAAGCCTGCAATGGCTGGAAGGCATTACGCATCATGACTTCTGCTTTTTGCTGAAAACAATATGTATTTCTTAATTAAATTTATATGCTTCATGCCTTTATTTATGAAGGGGAAGAAGGAAGAAAGTCTAGTCTCTACTCTCTAGTGAACACTGAAATTCATGAGTAACAGTTCAAAGATCTTTATAAATGCTCATCAAACATTGCTGTTGCTGGTGTTGTACAATGCTTTCTTGGTAAGTGATGCTGGATCATTTTGTCCAATTTTTTTTTCAGACTTCATAGGGACCGTAAAAGGGGGTTACTTAGACTCCTGGGGTAACTTAGACCACTTTTAGTTTTTTTTAACAAAAACCCCCAAAACTCAAAAACTATTTGTGACATAGAAAAATTATGTCAATGGGCATCAAAGGCCTAATACTGAGGCTACATAACACAGTAGAAATTTTAAAAAATTATGCATATCTAATAGGTTAAAAAATGAAAAATGTGACCCACGAAAACGTACTATTATTTAAAGCCTGTCGTAGAACCCCCTCCAATTCTTTTATTTTTTGGTAAAATAACTCCAGGTTTTGGTGCATTGTAGTAGAACTCTTCTAGTTACATATGCAAATTTGAGGAAAGTGTCATAGTTTGCAAATGGGGGGTGATGCCCCTGAATGGGAGAACTTAGACCACCTAATGTCAGCCCAGATGGGGTAAAATAGACCGGCTTGTGAGTTAATTTAAAATTACCATATATAACATATTTTATGTTTGATACTGTAAAATGGGGTAACTTAGACCACTTTTTTTAATAAATGATGCCATTTTTTCACTAGCTAAATTAAACTTGAATTGAGACATGCAAAATACAGGTCTATACTCAAGCTTTACTCACCATAAATTGCTGGCTCCTGCCTCTCATAGTCACAAACATAAAATATGTTATATATGGTAATTTTATATTAACTTCCAAGCCGGTCTATGTTACCCGTCAGGGCTGACATTAGGTGGTCTAAGTTACCCCATTTGGGGGCGGCGCCCCCCATTTGCAAACTATGACACTTTCCTAAAATTTGTCATTTGCATATGTAACTAGAAGAGTTCTACTACAATGCATCAAAACCTGGAGTTATTTAACCAAAAAATAAAGAAATTGGAGGGGGATACTCTGACAGGCTTTAAATAATAGCTTTTTTCATGGGTCACATTTTTAATTTTTTAACCTATTAGATATGCAAACTTTTCAAATCTTTCTATTGTGTTATGTAGCCTCAGTATTAGGTCTTTAATGCCCATTGACAAAATTTTTCTATGTCAAATAGTTTTTGAGTTGTGGGGGTTTTTGTTAAAAAAACAAAAAGTGGTCTAAGTAACCCCGCCGGTCTAAGTTACCCCATTTTACGGTACACCTATTAATGTTATTTCTTTATGTTTCAGACTCTACAGAGTCTTATATATGGTAATTTTTACTTAATTTCCAAGCTGGTCAATATTACCCCATCAGGGCTGACATTAGGTGGTCTAAGTTCCCCCATTTGGGGGCAGCGCCCCCCATCTGCAAACTATGACACTTTGTTGTTGTTGTTCACCCTCCTTGTCCTGCAACAAATGCGGGATGAGGCCTACACCCATTCCTGTGGCCAGCCCAACTTCTCTCCCCAGCGCGCCAGCAGCCCAGCCGCCTTGACGGGAGAGCTCCACAAAACCAGGGGCGACAAGGGCTTGACCAGTTCCAAGCAGCCAAACAGGTGGTTGGTGTTGTGTTCCTGTCTGTGACAGAATGGACAAAGAGGGGACGGATGTGTGAATGGATCTATCTTGTATAGGTATTGGTGTAGTAGGGGGGACTTGTTTGTACGGGGTTGTACTAGTGCTTGGCGTGTGTGTCCGGGTAATTGGGTTTCTGCAGAGTCTATGTCTGGTGCTGGAGCTGAAAGTACAGCATTGTTTGGTAGATTGTTTATGTAGTTAGTTGTGATTGTTGTGTATTTGTTTCTTGTGTCTGTTTAGTGTTTCTGTTGTGGCTTGATCTGGTTCTATGAGTATGTTAGTGGTGTAGTTTCTGTTTGTGAAAACTGTTTGTTTCATAAGTCTGGGTGGGTTGTAAGGTTGAGTATGAGTGTGAAGTGGGTGGGTTGGTGCTTGAGCTTTTAGTCTGAGTTGGGATGCATGGAGTCTGAGGAGCTGGTCTATTGGCAGTGTTTTTGTTTCTGTGTGTAGGTGGCTTTGGTTAGTATCAGCTGTACAACCTGTTGCAATATGGAGTGCAGTGTTTTGGATTGTTTGTAGTTTGTCTGTGTGAGTTTGTGCTAGGCTGGGGGACCAGATGGTGCTGCCATATTCTATCATAGGTTGTGTTATAGTTTTGTAGGTGGTGAGTAGGACTTCTTTTTGTTTTCCCCAATTTGTTGACATGAGAGATTTTAGAATTTTCTTTTAGTTGCTTTGTCATGTGTGTTATCACTGCTTATGGATGTGGGTATTGAAGTTTAGTTTTGGGTCAAATATGATTACTAGTATTTTTGGTTGTGTGATGGTGGGAATGGTGTCATTGTCTATGGTAAGGTTTAGTATTTTCCTGCATTCAGCTCTGAGTCAGGGTTGGTGATAGTTTTAGTGCCAGCAGTTCTTTGGGCAGCCTCCAGGGCAGGAGTCAACAGGCTCTCACCTTCAGATTCCTCTGAGTCTAGTCTGGAAAAGTCCTATTTTTGTCTGAAATATTGCGGCTCTAATATCATATAATTTCAGTAGGTATGAAATCTCGCGGCTCGAATGTCATAAATTTTTGTTTGATTAAAAAATCGCGATTTGCACTTCGCAAACATGTCATTTCATAAAATTTTCAACTTCTGCAAAACATAAACATCGTAATGTAAACAAATAAACAAAACGTTTGTTGAAGATCGCGCATAGTTGCGGTCATGTCAAAGCGGTCAGACTGTATATTAACACGTGCTGAACTTACAGTAGAGACAAATTTTATTGTTGCCGTTTGACTGTTTAAGGGTAAAATTAGAGATTTGGGGTAACACGTGCATAAACTTTGTAAATATATTTGCATTCGCACCTCGTAAAAGGCTTTTCATGGCCGAGATATGGAATTCACGGCTCGGTGAAATAGAATCACGGCTCATAGAAATGGAATCACGGCTGGCAAATCCATAAAACCACGGCTCGAAAAATTCAGTCGCGGCTCTCCAAGTAGATATATTCCATACTAGCTCTGAGTCTTATACACATCTAGATGTGTATAAGAGACAGATGATTGAGTTTATCCGGAAACATTTGTTTGCAATTCCAACTGTCAAAGTAGTGTAGGGCAGCTGGCTTTAAAAGATCAACTTGCTGCATTACCTGGCGACATAGGGTTATAACCGGCCTACCGCACTCCGCCTCTACAGAGCTAGGATATTCGATGTATGATAGACTACATNAGTGAAAAATACTCGCGAACGAAGGCAAAAGTGAAAAAAATATCATGAGCTAAACATCACCGTCGGGTATTGAGAAATTTATATTCAAAATTTAATTCAAATCTGTACAGTACTTTAGAAGAAATGTCACGCTCACTGCAATTTTCACCACGTATATTCATATAACTCAGGAATGAAGGCGAATTTTGAAAAATTGTCACGAGCTAAACATCACCGTTAGGCTCTAGTGATTATGTGTACCAAGTTTCATCGAGCTACGTTCAGTATTTCGCGAGATATTCCACGCTCACTGAATTTGGAATCACGGCCGCGAGACCGGCCGTGGCCCGTGAGAGAGGCCGCGTTTTTGTCCGAGACGTCGATGAACGCAGCTGACTCTCTCCCCGGGTTCCAAAGGCCGGAGCCGGTACTGACTAAAACCCGGACCCGGATCGGTCCGCCGGACCCGGACCGGTCCGCCGGACCCGGACCAAGTGACTAAAACCCGGACCCGGACCGGTCCGGCGGACCAGGTTCACACAAATAAAAGGCTGCTGATCATCTGAAACGTCGAGAAAACTTTTAATTTTACATATAAAATTTTCATATTTACTTAGAAAAATTTCGTCGCACCAACATATGAGGGTCACGGAAAAGTTCATTTTTCGATCAAACAAATCGATGGAGAACGTTCTGGATCGTCCAGAAAACATAAAACTTTTTACCGAATTCTTGGAAATTTATTTAGAAAAATTTCATGTCAGGTCCGGCTGACCCCGGACCAAGTGACTAAAGCCCGGACCCATGTATTCGGGCCATAGAAAAGTTTATTTTCGCTCGAACTAATCGATAGAGAATGTTCTGAAACGTCCAGAAAACATAAAACTTTCGTATAGAATTTTTTGAAATTTACTTGGAAAAATTTCATGTCAGGTCCGGGGAGCCCCGGACCAAGTGACTAAAACTCGGACCCATGTATTCGGGTCACAAAAAAGTTCATTTTTCGATCGAACTAATCGATTGAGAATGTTCTGTAACGTCCAGAAAACATGAAACTTTTTTATCAATTTTTTTGAAATTTACTTACTGAAATTATTTTAACTATTCAGGGAACTTCCAAACCGCCCGTGCTCTTTGTCGGAAGCCTTCACTCTCACTCTTCCAAGCCGCAAAAGCATTCAGATCCATCGGTAATTTATGATACTTTTGATATTGACGATTTCTCATCTACGTATTCTCAAGTATCGGATATGGGATATCAAACAGAGGAAAAG